GGGGGGGGGGGGGGGGGGGGGGGGGCCAACACGGACATGCACAGAGGCACCCATTCCCGACACGTATGGATGATACGTGCTGTGTCACTTGGCATTGCCCCGCACCCCCTCTCCCCCCCTCCCCCATCGTACTGTCGGTCTATCGCTTGCTATACTTATTTATTTCATCGTACTCTATGATTGCGTAAGCAGAGACGTTCGACATGTCGTGCATGCGTGACAACGCAACCACCTACCTGTATTTGTGTTATCTCGCCACTCTCTGCCTGCGTACTCTCCCTCTCCCCCTCCCCCTGCCCATCCCCAATGCACTGCCGTCAGGTGGTTTTTGCCCCAGCAGACTCACGTGCGCGTGTGCATGTTGTCGTGTCGACGGTCGGTGTCTTTTTCTCCATGATTTCACCCATCCTTTCGTATCACCCCGCCCTATCTGCCCATCCATCCATACACAATGACACTGACTGACTGCTTGTCGACCTGCCTGCCTGCCTGCCTGCCTGTCCGCCCACCTACCTACTTGGCTTGACTGACTTCTCTGTCTGTCTGTCTGTCTCGATTTCGCTTTACAAAGGCCGTGTAGCAGTACAGGGGTATGGGGATCACTCACTCACTCACTCACTCACCAAAAGGCATCACTGATTCGTGGCGACCTCGTGGCGCACAGGGTGTGGCTCCGTATCACATTCTGCCATCAGGGGCGGACATGCAGGCCATATCGGGGCTTGCCCCAGCTGCATGTGCGGTCCTGAATGGATGGATCTGACAGGGAGCGCTCACTGGGGTCACGATTCATGACGCCTGCGAGCAGTTGCATTTATGTGTTTTGCGAACATGTATTGACCGCTTCCATGCAGTGCAATTGCCTGATTCGTTTGCCTCCGAAATACAATCACCTTCCCCACATCGGAGGGTACTGGCGTTGTCGGCAAGGCCGCGCCGGCTAGGACGACTTGGCCCCCCGCGCATGGGCATGCATGCGCTTTCTCCCGAGTCCCTATGCTGCGATGAGGCTATCCTCTGCTGCTGTAGGCATCACCCTTCACGCACATGCAGTATACTTCAGCCGGTGTGCAAAGGCGTCCGAGGCCTCACCTCTTCGCCTCATTTTCACCTCGTGAAGCCAACGATGACTGACGAGGTGGCGACCATCGCCGCAATAAGACTGCGGGAAGGCCCCCAGGCTGCATTTACGTCTCAAGGTATTTACCTTGCAGCTGCTGAAAGGAGGCCTCCTCACATTGTTCTACCATGTTTCGGCGGGTGATTCCAGCAGAAACGGCACTGCCCTTCCTCAAACGAGATCTTTCTGCAGCCAAGTACCTCAAACGAGATCTTTGGCCTCTCCCGATGGTTGCCCTCCTGGCTTCCCTCTTCGCCGCTCTCCTGGTCCTCAACTCACTGATCCTCAACAAACACAGGATGCAGCACGGCAAAGGCAAACACGTGAAAATGCAGCCTTCTTATCCCAGGCCTGATGCCTCCTCTCAAGCAGCGAGGACGGTGACCAATTCGCCGGATTATGGGCCAGCGGACAGGCGGCCTCCGGGGTATGGGGACGACAAGAAGGTGTTTTCCCTCGCACCGTCGGGCCTTTGGGCGGGCAAGTGCCGATACTGCAGGCTCCGAGTGCATCACTATTTGCCCTTCAGCCCGTTTGTTGATTTCCTGAAGCGACAATTCGACACGGTCAGGTTCGATGTGGCCGCTTCCTGGATGCTGCTACCGCCTCTATGTGCCGCTGCCAATGAGGATGCGGTCGCGTTGTGCCGTTCTCTCACCCATCATTCTACCTCTATGTGTGGAAGGACAATCGTGTCTTTCTTGGCGAAGCCAGAGGGCCAGAAACAGACGAGAACTTTCCCTTGCGGAGCTGCTTTGTTGTGGAGAGGGCCGTCAACGGTCAAGCCGGTTTGTCCTTCCGCAATCTGTACAAGAAGGACCACTACCTGGTCCATGCGAAACAGAAGGAGCTGGGCTTTGCAAGTCTTAATGCGACTGACACGGCCTTTCGCGAGGCCGCTTCCTTCTCTCGCCTGCCTGCACCCCTGCCGCCTTCCCTTCTGGCCAATGCGTCGCTGGCTCGGGCGCTCATCACTCCTTCATCTGGTGCCGACATGCCGGCACACGTGAGGATTGTTGCCTTGTACAGCGTCTCGTCGCCTGGGTCCGCCAATACACACCAGGACATGCTTCTCCAGCAGTACGTGAGGAGTGCTTTGGCCACGATGCAGCCCAGAAGGCCTTACGAAGTGCGAACCAAGATTATCGATGTCAGGGGTGATGGAGCTTTCAGGTGCGCAGAAAGACAGGGAGCGCAATCTGATGTTTCCTGTGCTGATTAGGACGTCTTCATGGTATGATGCCATCCACGCTCAGGCGACACTGTGGGCGCAGGTCGCTGAGCAACACATGCAAACAAGCGCATCCGACAGCAGAGTGGCTGCCGCCATTGTAAGCCCTCGAACACGCATCTCCCACTGCCGTGCCCAATGCGTGTGTTGTGTTCATGCGCAGGTGGGCTCTGATATCGACGTGCAGTTCTTTCCTCGCTGGCAGCGGCACGTGGAAGGCTGTCTCGCTCACAATGATGTGTGCTTCCAGCGCGAGAGGCCACTCAACACGGGATTCTTTGCCATGAGGTGCACAAACGCGACTCTCGCTTTCTGGCGGGCGGTGAGAGACATGGTGCTGTCTTATCCTGGGGGGCGCTTCAACCAGGTACAGGGTCACACAGGAGGCATGATGAGCTTTTCTGATTCTTTTCTCCTCTGCAGTTTGCCAAAGTGGTTGCGTCTTCCCACCCTGACGTCTCCATTCCATGGACCACCTTCCCATACGAAATCGTACACTCAGGAAAGGTCAGCCAGCGAACAGAAGAGTCGAAACAGAAACCGTCTTTGCTCTCTTTGTGTCTCAGAAGTTCGCCTGGCCGTCGATGGTTGTGCATCACGCTGTTGCAGCTGGCCCGCCAGAGAACAAGACAGCTATCCTGCACGATGTGCGCAGCACTTACTTCCACACGTGAGCCGAGAGAAGCGGCGTGCAAGCAAGCCTCATGGCGTCTTTCCTTTATGCAGGCAAAACTATCGAGAAAGCGAGCTGCGGAAGCTGCGCCAGTCCCAGCCCTATGTGCGTCAGGTGGCTGGCAGCATCTGCGCGTATGGCCTGGGGCTGACGAATGGGCACTCTCGCCTTACTGTGAATGGAAGCAGCTCATCAAGATGTCCCACGTTCGACGGCATGGTCGAAGTCATTTGATGGGCCAGTTAATGGGGCGAGATCTCGAAATTCGTGCGTGCGTCTGTGTGTTTGTGTCTGCGTGTTTATGGGCAGCTCCGTGTCAGCATAGGCTGTGCGTGGGATGGAAACACTGATCAAAACTGATGAGCGTCCTTGCTGGTCCTTGCTGCGTCTTTGCTGCGCGTGGGTGCGCGTGGAGCACAGCACCTGAGCCACGACGTCTTTGGTGCGAAAGAGACGAAATCCTGTCCGAGCGGCCGGCCGTTGCAATTGCCGTTGCGGGCCAGAGGGCTCAACGCCCTCCCCCTCCCCTCTCCCTCTTTCCCCCCCACTCCCACGTTCTGCAGCTGATTTCTCCCACACCCCATCGAATCGATGCAGTGCACCTTCCCCTCCCTCCTGGTGGCGATTCTCTTCGGCGGCTTTCTCGCCTCAGCCTCAGCGCAGTATGACATGCACCTTGCCATCCGATGCCGCAACGGGGCAAGAGATCCAGGATGTTTCTCGACGGCAGTCATTCCTGGCTACACAGGTCGGTGGATGGGCAGACGAAAGGCAAAGGCGAAGCCGGAGGTGGCTGATGCGTAGTGTTTGGTTGCGTTGTACCCGCAGGTGTGAGTCACGCTGTGACGCTGGGCGGGCGGCAGATACAGGTGCCCTGGAACTCTCCCATACTCCCTTACTACACAGGGGCCAGCAAGGTGAGGCAGGCTCAGTTCCCTCCCCTGTACGTCCCATGACCATTCTGAGTGCTCGGCATCCTGTGTGTGAGCAGTACCAGAACAAGATCGGTGTGTTGGGCAGCAGAGAGTATCCTCGCCGTGGCTACAACCTCTCCAGGTTTCCCTTCGCCCGCTCTAGGCCCACGCGGACCTTTAGGGGGGTGTGGGACAGACGGGGCATTGGGAGCTCATGGAGTCGCTCACGGGGCATTGGCTCACGCTTTGGGAGGCTCTTTCGGCGGCGGATGTCCACGGCAGCTGCTGGGGCTGCCCGTGATGCGCAGCGAGAGACGCTGGCCGTGGCGTGAGACGATTTTTTCCTCGACTCTTTCTTTATGCGTGTGTTTCGTGTTCGTGTCAAGTATTTAATCGGCCAGGCTGCTGGTCTCGTGCGTGTGTACCAATTGGGGTCGGCTGCTGCTTTGTCGTGTCAGCCCTTTCTCCTTTCTACCCGTCAGTACATCTGTCTGCCCATGTGTTGATATACTGACATGTGCTGCGTGCCTCCTGACACGTCCATTGCGTGCATTTTACTGTGTGAAATCATGTGTACGCACTCGTCTGTTCAGCCAAAGCGGCATCGACCGACGTCCGACGTCTCACTCACATGAATCGCATTGACGTCCACCCATTCACAGCTCCACAGCGCACATCGACACGGCCCCATATTCTCTCCTCTCGCAACGATTGTGCTGTGGCCCACTCACACACACAGAGATACAACACATACCGACACACAGAGAGATATAGCCAAGGGAAGGACACAGACATGCAGACAGACCGACAGAGAAAGAGAAGCCCTCCAGATGTCACCCAAACACGCGGATGACCGAGTAGGCACATGTTCATGCAGTTGTGTATGGACAGATCAACAAATGAGGGAGAGAGAGATCTAGACAGACAGACATGGACACGAAAGTAGTGGAGTGCACACGAGAGTTGCACGTGTGTGCTGCCGGCTAGGATACATTACACACGACTGGGCGTGATGCGGCCGCCTGAGGGGCGGGCACAAGCGCCTCCGTCCGTCAAGTCAGTGAGGGATACTGTACACCACACCGGCCGGCAAACGCATCCTAGCGTCGACCAAAAAGCATGAAGAGCAAGGTTTCTCCCTCTTCCTCTCTGCGTATGGCCGTTGCACGCCTCGACGTGTCATGACCCTCGCCGGTTGGACATGGGCGTCGAATCAAATCCATTCACTGAGAGGGAGGGAGGGAACAAAGACATACACGCATACACATGTGAGCCATCACTCCATCCGCTCCATGGGGCGTCCTGCCTGCCTACTTGCGTAATATTCCTCTCCCCCGCTTTTGGCGCCGTCGCTGCTCCTCCCGGACGCACCCGACAGTGTGATGACGCCCTCCTCCTTCGCTAGGGGGTAGGGGTCCTCCTCGTCGGGCACCACATAGGGGTCCGCCGACGGCCTGACACACACGTCGAAGGGGAGCGACACACATAAGGTCTGGAACGGTGTGTGTCCATGATGGGTAGCGCTGACCTCATTTGAGGCGAGTCGAGAACGGATGCCACCCGGAGTTTGGCGTAGAGATCCTGATGGGTTGGTGGGTGGCACGAGATGCTCACGTGGTGTGTCAATGGTGTGTGTGTTGTTGTGTACCGATCGTATTCTTTCAGGCGTCCTGGCGATGTGTCTGTGTCTTCTGACGAAGAGCGGCTCTATCTGTGCGCCGGCGATGGAGATGACGGGCACCCTCTCGGTGTCCGGAGGAGACACTGTCAGCTCCTGAGACCTGATCGACGTCCACACATCCAGTCGACATTGATACGCACATTCGCCCACATGTGTGCGTCCGTAAGTATACGGACAGCAGTCACCTTGTGCTGTGTTGGGTGTGTGTGGTTTGCGTACTTAGAGAGCTGGCCGCCCCACCGGTAGCCCACCAGGCCGACAATGATCACCAACTGTCCATGTGAGGCGGTATAAACACATGATATATCGATTCACCAGCCCTGTTGCGACTCTTTGTGTCCCCTCCCTCCCTCACCAGGCCGAGGAAGTCCGTCGCTCTCGGCTGCATCGCATCAGCACCCTGCACACACACACACACACACAGAGGAATGCTCCCATGTGCACATCAGGGCGGCCACGTGTGTGTTCACAGCTGACAGACCATGACGAAGGACGAGTAGAAGGCCATGGATGTGAGGGGCAGCCTCAGCGTAGCGATGAGGAAGGATATCGCAGCCGACCCGTGCTTGATGACCAGAATCGTGAACACATTGTAGAACACATTCGCCAGCAGATACGACGCTGTCGGGATCTGCACAGATAACACACACTGCTCCTGGTCGGAATGTCTCTCTAATCCCTGTGTAGCTCACCCATGCAGTTGCGCAGGCGTCACAAGGTGGCTGGTGCAGCCCTCCGCACTGTTCGGTGATCGTGTTGATGCCCACGAGGCACTTGGCGCCATTGGCAAAGGCGGCGGGGATCTGCACCCACTCGATGCGCTGCTCGCCCAGCATCGGGAGCGTGTTGATAGGCACCAGGAGGAAGCCGATCAGCAGCTGGAATGCAGCCACCCAGTACTGCAGCAGATTCACGTCCAAATCCACATCGCGGAAGGCCACCTCTTTATACACAGACGAGAGGGCCGTCGGCTGTACCATCAAACACACACACGCGTGTTTCATGTCTATGTATGGGTGTTGGAGGGGGTGCGTACCACCGACGCGAGAAAGAAAAGCAGGTTGAAGAAGAATTGGTCCTTGGGCGCTCCGGGATCTGGCGCCGCCATGAAGGACGGCAGCTTGGAGATCAACACGCCAGCGATGATCACCGTACTGCCCATGTACTGCATCCAGTGATACCTACACACACACGCACACACACACACACACACCCCGATATGAGTATACCCTCACACACACACACACACACACACACACACATGCCTGACCTGATAGACAGCGCCAGCACGGTCGCGAGCAGGGTCACAGGTATGGTGGCCTGCTGCAGGATGACCTGAGTGGTGCCGCTGGTGTTGACCCCGCCCAGCACCATGCATATCCCCGCCAGGCTGTCGAACGCCCCCATGACGGCGAACCTTCTCCTCGGAAAGCTCTTCATTTCTGGTGTGATGCCGCCTCTCATGTCGGTGTAGATGACCAGGGAGAGGAATATGGGGACGTAGATGACAGTCGTCAGCTGAGTGAGGAACCACCCGTAGTTGGGCATGCCGTTGGTCATCTTCTTGAAGAACACGCTGTTGCACACGCTCGATAACAGGAGGCCCAGCGAGTAGGCGGCCAGCAGGAGGGAGTCCTTCCTCAGAAAGGAGGAGCCCGTACGAAGCCCGAATCTGACAACAAGCAAACAAACACGCAAGCAAAACACACGTGACGCTCCTCCGTGTGTTTCTCAGTTTTTTCCTCTTCCCTTCCCTCCCGTCCTCTCTCTGTTAGTGCTTACATCCTTCTGGCTGATCTCCACCAGCGAGATTGGGACTGCGCCTGCGGCGAGGTGTCGTCGTGGTCATCGCTCTGGTGACCTTCTGTGGCTGGGGTTGATGACGATGTCGGCTCCAGAAGGGCCTCTTTGAGCTCGGGAGCCGACACGCCTTGACCAAGCCTCCTTTGGGACGGCATTGCGAATTCCGGTCACTCTCTCGGCCACACCCAGATCTCCCCAGCACCCGGCACGCCCAGGAGAAGCAGCAAAGTTCACCTTTGGTGTGTCCTTTCAGCTAAGCGCAATTCGGAGCTCTAAGCTCGCGAGTATTGCGCGCTTATTCCCGACCGATGTCGCACCGTCGTGAGAGAGGAGAGGGCGGACGTGGATGCCTCTGTGGATAGAAGGACTCCCACACAACTGAATTTTTGCCACACGCCCTTGTCGCCGCCTCGTTTCGACCTGAGAATCTGAGAGTCGGCCTGAGGATGGCTCTGTGAGGGTGTTGTGGCCATGCCGGCTGACCTGTCGAGTGCTGTGGAGGCAGTGGAGGGCTGCGAGCCGTCCTCGCGGCCTCGAGGCTGTTCCTTTTCGTCTGCTGTTAATGGGACACAGGCCACAGTCCGGTACGAGTATGTCTTCGTATACGGGACGGTGAGCCATCGCACACACGACACGACACACACGACGGAAGACACCTCACTCATTTGTCTCTCTGCGTGTGTGTGTGTGTGTGTTTGTGTGGTCCCTCCCTCAGTTGAAGCGAGGGTTTCGTAACCACTACAACATGGAGCGAGATGGGATAGAGTACGTGGCTGAGTGTGCGACGGCCCACCAGCTGCCGCTCTACCTCGACCACACCAACAGATACAGACCTTGCCTGGCCAACGTCAAGGGAATGGGACACCAGGCAAGTCACACACGCACACTCTCTCACTTGGCACACACTCTGCATCCATCTCTCCCTCCCTGTGTGTGTCGACATCAGGTGTGTGGTGAGCTCTATCGAGTGCATCGTCGGCTGATCCCCGAGCTGGATGACTTCGAGCGGGTGCCGACGCATTACCACCGTGAGTGTCTGCCGGTGACCACCGAGGAGGGCGAGCACTTGCACGCGCACGTCTACTTCAACAACACCGACAGAGCCAGGGAGGAGGAGCTCAGACGGGGGCACTTTGAGCTCATTCCCGACTACACATACTACCACCACAAGAAATACATACCACGAGCAGGTACGTGGGTCCGCACCCTTTGTCGATCAACCAACTCACACAGAGAGACAGAGAGAGACATCCACCGTCCCTTGCTCTTTCAGGCAACACGCGTGCGCTTGAGCTTGGCCCGCCCGATGCTGAGCACTTGGTGGCCTCTGCGCCCGACAGCCCCGCCCCCTCCCGCTCCCCCTCCCCGGCACCACGCATCATCAGGCCGCTCGACGAGGACGTCAGGCACCGCTCCTTCGCACTCCGGAAGGCGACTGTGGCAGCTGTGGCGTATCGACGGCCGCGCGTGTTGTCGGAGGAGCTGGAAAGCGCGAGGAGGACGCTGGCCAACTCTCAGCTCGAGATGGCCGCATGACTGATGACACACAATAGGGAGGGGGTGGGCGGGATGTGGGGGTCTGTTGCCTGGTGAGTTTTGCGTTTCTTTTTCAGTTCACTCGTGCGTGGGGGGTTGTGTCTGTCTGTGCGTGCTGTGTGTGTGGTGTGTGGGTGGGTGTTGTTTCGCCACTGGTGGGGCCCTTTTTTGGCGCATTAAGTGGCGGGACGCACTCATCTCACCCCTGTCTCTCCTTGCCTGCCGCTGAGCGGCTTCCTGCTGCTTGTACTTGTTGCGACTCTCTTCTGTATCTTGTCCCGCTTCACTTGCTTTCAGTGAAACGGGACCTGATGCAGGGAAGAGACCCAATCACGAGCAGGCGAAGTCGCTGGCAGCAGCTTCTCACAGAGACCTTGTGCCTGTCTGCCTTGCTGATGGCGTGCGTGTTTGCCTCGACTGTTTGACTGACTGACTGACTAAATCTCTTGCTGACTGAATCTCTTGCTGACTGGATGTTTCCGATGTTTCTCTTCTCTGCGGCCGCTACCCACATGGTATTGTGGTGGCTCGGAAGGATGGATGGTGAGTGTGGGTGGGTGGTGAGAGGGGAGAGAGAGCCGAGGATTGGTGGACAGACAACGTTTTTGCCGGCGAATGAGTGAGTCCATTCGATCATTGCATTGCAACGCAGACACCAAGGGCGAGTAATCGGGTAACGTATGGGCATCGAGTACGTACGTACGTGTACGAGTGTAATGCTTACTGCTGCTACTGCGCCACGGGATCGATTGTTTTGAAGACAGACCAGACGACATCAGTCGGTGGTGGGCCTTCGTTGCCTCCCTGCTTGTCTCTTCTCTCTCTCTTTGTTGTTGTGTGTGCCTGTGGGTGTGAATTCGTGATGATGAAACCTGAAACCTACTGGTTGATCAATCCAGAGTATCCTTGTGATGCAGATCTGATTGAACTATTCCGGAGAAGGCCCCAGTCGAGGTCGAGGGCATCACGAGGGCGCACCCGTCCGATGTGATGCCCTCTTGCTCGACTGTGGCCTTCTCAGCAATGTGGTCGATCAGATCTGCATCGTACAGTTGTCTTGCCTCTTGCCTGCCTGCCTGGTACAGTATGTGCGTACATCGACCCTCATACTCATGATATATTGGATGTGTGTGCTTATGCTGTGTGTACAGTCCGTCTGTCGATCAGTCAGCCCACTGTCACCATATCCATCCGTCGCATACACACACGCACACACACCACACACACCATTCATTCATTCATCCGTCCACAGTGTGCATCCATCTCAGAAATGGGAGGTCAGTTGGGTGTCCGTTTTGCGGTGGTGATGTGTATTTCTGCCTCTGTTGCGTCGTCCGCTGGCTGAGCTCAGTCGCTTGGCTCCGTATGACGGGACCGCGGCAGACCAACACATCACACACATGCACACGGCGGTTGTATGACACTCACAAGAGGCCAGTCGAGTCGTGATATCTTTTTGCTTGCTAGGTGCCTTCTTCGCTTATGGCATTGATACACGAGTGAGCCGTGTTGGTTCGGGCCGGGCCCCTCTCATACAGAGGACCTCCCGCCCGTATCCGTGTCCATGCGGGCAGAGCAGCGATGGAAAGAAACGGACTGAGTGCGGTACATGGTATACGACCATTGCGTAAAGGTGATGTTTCAACACTCGGTGTGGATGGATGCGTGTCGATGGGATTGGGCTCACTTCTCGATGGCGGATTGGCGTTCTGTCTGCATTGGATTGTGTGAACGGCTGGCTGTGTCGCGGCGGTGTGTTGTCTGTCATAGGGTGCCTTCATCCGGCTGTCACGGTCGCTGGTTCGGCCGTGGTAGGCAGGTGAGGGCACGCATGCCGGACAGACAGGCGCGCGATAGGCTGGCCACATGCATGGATCGACCTTTGTCTGTATTGGTGTTGCGACATCGATGGTACACTTACACACATATCGGCGGCGCGAGTGAAGATGGGATAAAATCGCTCCCATATGGGACACCCATATAAGACCGGCAAAGATCTTCAATTGTTCATTTCGGCTCAGCAGTTCGCGGCTTGGTTTCGCTTTCTCGACAACGGAGACGGAGACAAAAATCGAAAAAGAAGATTGGAAAAAAGAGAAAAAAGCTGCCCTCGCCTCTCCTTGGTTTCTTCGCCTCCTTGGCCGAGCGCCTCTCGCGCCGCCGCTTGCCAGCTGGTCGCCTTGCCAGCGGGACCGTCCCCAACACAACCAATGCACTTCTCATACCGCCCGCTCGGCACGAGCCACACGTAAGCAGTCCTGACAGCCAACAATGTCATGCCTTTTCCTGTATTCTTCATATGTGTGTGTGTTGCTTTCGTGGTGTGATTGTGGCAGAGGAGGCCGAAGAGACACAAGAAGCGGACCAGAGGTCACTCCTGCCCCTTCCCACACCGCATTCTTCCCCTCACAGGTGCGTGCGTACATACGTACGTCAGGAAGAAGGTGACAGTGACCGACCGACCTTTGTGTGACCGATGTTTTTGTCCTGCTCGTTCGTGTCTGTCAGGTGCGTGTCGCCCCCCCGGTGGAGCCTGCGGCCACTCTCAGCACCACCATCCACCCCCGCCACGAAGGTCAGACAGGCACGGGACACACATAGGCACGCGCCTGGCTCACCGACATCCATCCATCCATCCATCCATCCATCCGTGTCTGTCTGTCTGTCTATCTGTGTTTGTGTATGCGTGTGTGCAGGGTTATCTGCACAAGAGGCGCAGGCAGCTGACGGAGAGGGCCCGCCACGAGCGTGAGAAGCGGGACAAGGAGGCGCAAGAGGCCCTCAGGAAGATCATTGAAGAGGAGATTAGAAATGTATGCGGCATACACATGAATGAATGACGCACGCCACCGACCCTCCCTGCCTTATGCATCCGTCTCTTTGTGTGTGTTGTGGTTCGGCTCTTCCCCTACCGGGCCCCTCTCCCAGCAGAGCTCACCTGCCCAACCGCCGCCCGCTGCGGCCGCTGCTGCTGCTGCTGCTGCGGCCTCTCCTGTGGGCCAAGAGCCATCGGTGCAGCCCCAGCCGCTCTTCACCACGAGTCCTGCCCCCACTCCCACTCGTCCCACTGGGAGCATCGGAGGGGCTCGTACACTCAGGTGGGCTAGTGGGGGGCAAGGCGGCCAAGCCCAAATTTCCACCCGACCAGAAGGGCTCCATGCTTCGCCGGGCGAGGGAGGAGCAAGCTGCTGCCGCGAAGGCGGCCTCTGCGGCTGGTGCAGGCGGCGACAAGGGAGACGGTAAGCAGGGGAGTGTCGGCGAGGGCGAGGCGCCCAAGGTCAGCCGCGCTGACGAGCAGACCGGGGTGGGCAAGTGCGAGGCCGAGGGTGAGGGCTTGGAGGCCGCCAAAGACGCCAAGAAGAAGGGGCGGAACAACAAGACCAAGACGGACACCACTGGTGCTGACGGCGGTGGCGGTGGTGGTGGTGCGAGTGCGGCGGGTGTGGCGGCCTCGAGCACTTCACCGACCACTCCATCGATCCCGCCCAAGCAGGACGCCTCCCAGCCAAGAGGAGGTTGAGGCCCTCAGGAAGATCATCCAAGAGGAGATTAGAAAGGTACGCGACATACGAAAGAATGCAGACGCCACCGACCCTGTCCTATGCATCCGTCTCTTTGTGTGTGTTGTGGTGTGGTGGCTTTTCAAACAGGCTGACAAGAGTCGGCAGAGGCCCCCGCTGCTGAGCACGTCGCACACCGACCCGCACCTGGCCTCCCCCACACCCCACGCACCGACGACGACCGCCCCGCTCCACCCACACCCACCTTCGGCTCTTCCCCTACCGGGCCCCTCTCCCAGCAGAGCTCACCTGCCCAACCGCCGCCCGCTGCGGCCGCTGCTGCTGCTGCGGCCTCTTGTGTGGGCCAACAGCCATCGGTGCAGCCCCAGCCGCTCTTCACCACGAGTCCTCCCATCCACTCGTCCCACTGGAAGCATCGGAGGGGCTCGTACACTCAGGTGGGCCAGTGGGGGGTCACGGATCGCATTCAGTGTGACCGCTACCTCAACTCCCATCACCAACACCTCGTCCGCAACATCAGGATGGTGCGCACCAGATACAAAACGACACGCACCATACCACAGACACGTGCATATGCATGTGTATGTGTGTGCACCTACCCATCTGTCAGCGGACCTATACCCAATTTCTGGAGCACCACGTCTCGGTCACGGTCACCCGCATGGCGTCGACCTTCGGGGTGTCTGCTGATTTCATTGAAGGGTAAATACTCACACTCAGCATACAACGCTACGCAAGACACAAACACACAAACAATCACACACAAACACACAAACAATTCTATTGATGTGTGTGTTGGTGTCTTTGTGTGTCAGTGACCTGGATGGCCTCATTCGCTCGGGCGACATAAGTGCCGCCATCAACAAGGAAGAGGGCGCCGTCAACTTCAAGTTCACTGACCCAGCCGGCAGCCAGGTAATGGCAGCAGAGAGGGATGGGGGACGCCAGGATCTATTCGACTGCGTGTCTGGTGTGGTGCATGGTGCAGCAGCACACCACACCACACCAGACACCCTGGGGAACGACCAGCTGGAATATGAGCACCTAGAGGTGGAGACGCCCAAAGAGAGAGCTTCGAATGAACTCGTGCGACATCGACCGACAGTCGGCAGCTGCATGTCGTCAGCACACGGGCTGGTCAATCTCGGCAATACCTGCTACATGCAAGCCAACTCTCATGCTGCCGTCGGATGGGCGCACACACATATATGCATTTTTCTACCTGTAGGGTAGCCGACAGGCCCGAATATGTAGAGCTGACCGACCTGCCAAACGAAGCCATCGCCGAGGCCAGCCAGGTGGGCATGGCCGATTTGGACACGCACACATGCGTATTTCTGTATGGGTTGTCAGCGACAGATGGTGGCGGCATGAGAAGAGCAGGGGCGGCTTGGTGGTGTTGGCTCAATCCATCGCTGCTTACATTTTATATTTCGCAGTCGGTGTCTTTGCAGTCTTTCGCCATGCAGTATTTCCTGACTAACGAATGGTGTGGTTACCAATGCAATGCACGTATGTATCATTGAACCGCCCGCGCACTCTTTTACCAAATCGATCTGTGTGTCTCACGTCACGGCAGAGGATAGCCCTCGCGATTAGAGTACAGCGCCTCTCACAGACAAATCCATCCATCCGGCAAATCCATCATCCATCGACACCGACACCATGCTGCAGCACCTCTATCTCTGTCTTTGCCGTCTCCTCCCTCCGCTCCATCTATCGGTCATTTGGTGACCTTGTAGGCCTTGATGGTCGCCAGCAGCTTCTTGGCATGCGGGTCATCCTGACACACACATCAAGATCCGCATCAGCACACCATTGGCGTCAGCCCATCAAAGACGGGCTACCTGGAAGTGCCGCCTGACGGGCTCGAGCATCTCGTTGATGTAACGGGACAGATTTGGCTTGACGTCACCGGGGTGCAGACGGCCACTCTGACACACACCGTACACACACACACATGATCGACGTGCAAGTGCTTGTGTCTGCTCGTGTCACCAGGTAGTCTTCGGAGCACTGAGCGAAAGACGTATAGGTGATGGGCCCGCCGTCCTGGTCGCGGCGGTCGACGCGAAACTCGCCGTACATGGGGAAGACCATGTGCTCAATGTACGACATGCACGGGTTGCCCTCCAACACCTACACACACATACCCACACATATACACATCCATCCATCCATCCATCCACACACGCATATGCCGACTGTCCATCGTACCTGGGGTGGGCAGAAGGCCTTTTTGATCTTTCTGTTGACGTCGGCCGACAGGTCCTCCATGAAGATGGCCGAGTCGGGATCAGACTTGGACATCTTCTCCTGGCCCTCCAGCAACCCTACACGCACACACGGCAACGCACCAGGGGTCCGATCCGACAGACCGCATGAGGCGGCTAAGTGAGTGGTTGACGGACCTGGCAGCATGCCGTGTGAGAGTATGATGGGTTTGTGTTTCATCTTGAGCTCGTCGCAGTACTCCCTTGCCAGCATGTTGACCTTTCGCTGGTCGAGGCCCAGCTGACATATGTCCGCCTTCAGCTCAAAGATGTCCGAACACTGACACACACACACAGACGGACAGACAGACGGGGAATAGCAGGCGGGATGGACCGCATGCCTGTGCCCGCGCGTGTGAGAGAGTACCTGCATGCATGGGTACATGATTTGTGCGGACGGCTGGTCGTCGCCCTCACCGCGGCCCATGATCTGACCGCAGCGCTTGATCCTGCACACACACAGATACACACAGACAGTCCACTTCCGACATGTCATGTGGCGTGTGCGGCGGTTTGTGAAGGTGACCGTGTGATGTTGAATTTCCTGGCGATGTCCATTACGCGCATCCAGTACTGATTGGAGTTCTTGTTGATCTCATCTGACGCCCACAGAAACCTGCAAGCCGCCAGGGGGCACAATCACACACACGGCTCGCTCCCTCTTTGCTGTTTGGCTGACCTGACGTTGGTCATGTCCATGCCGGCGGCCTTCCACACCTCAATAAAGTACTCGCCCGTCTTGCGAATCTGACCATCACACACACACACACAGACACATATACACAGGTATGCCATCGATCTCGCACTCATTGTTGGTTGACCTTGTTGATGTCACCGCCGAGTTTGTTGTTGAGCATAGCGAACCAGTCGGCCACCCAGAATACAAACACACAGCCGCACTTGGTGAGTTTGTTGACATTGATGGCCTTGAGGATCCCCTGCGCTATGTGCATCCGACCCGACGGCTCAAACCCGTCATAGCAAATCGGGTGGGCCTTCTTCTCTAACAATGCCCGCAACTCCTGAACACAGCACAAGGTTGATCTTCTTCCCTTGGCCACACAGTGCTGTGTGTAAGCCATGCAACCTTGTGCTGTGCTGTGTGGTGGCTTACGTCTTCCTGAATGCATTCGGCGCCGACGGACCGGCAGAGTGCAAAGCGCTCGTCGAGTGAGAGGGTCGAGGGCACTGGGGCAGGCCACCGCACATCCGAACCTATCACCGCCCTGGTCGAACATCCCTCGGACACACCGTCGGCACACGCCGCCTGCAAACAGACAGACAGACAGAAATGGACGCAGTAGTTCGCCTGTGTGTTGTGTGCGGATCGTACCCCGTTGACAGCTACTGGTGCAGATGGTGGTGACTCGGTGGCTGCCGTCTTTGGCATCTCTTTGGACGCCCTCTTGGCGCTATCTGGCGCAGCTGCAGACGGCTCGGTCGCCTGACACCCACAGCCATCACACAGCTGACACCAAAGTGACGATGTCCTCCTCTCTCTCACCTTGGCAGCCATGAGATCTCGCCGCATCTTCTCGACAGCAACCGCGGCGCCCGTGTCGTTGGGCTGATCTGCGCCCTCCCATCCGCCGAGGCCGCCGTGCAGAGGAGATGTCATCGCTGACTGATGGACAGATGCGACTCGTCGAAGACTGCAGACAGGCTGGGCCACAGATGCCAACTGAGCTCCTGTCAATGCACAGCGATGCAGCCGCAGGCGCATACACAGCGGACAAATTGCGAGCTTAGATCGCAGCGCAAGCTCAGATGAGAAGAGGACTCCTGGAAGAGGACTGGCGCTGGCGCGATGCCTGTTGGTCGGAACCACAAGGGCATCCCTCCCAAGGTGTGTGTCATCTGCCAGCGCCCCTTCACCTGGCGCAAGAAATGGGAGAGGTACGCTCAGCTGACAAACCAAGCCGAGGATGCCTGCCGTGTGTGCAGCATCTCGGCATTGTTGTCATGTGCAGGTGTTGGGATGAGATTCAGACGTGCTCTGACCGGTGTCGCAATCAACGGAAGGCACAGCAGAGAACCGACGCCAGAGCCGCCGATGCGCCACACGAGCACGACCACACGCATCCACCAGAAAGCACTGCCGACAGCCCCCCATCGGCCCCCTCCGTGGCTGCGAACGAGCATCCTGCAGACGATGAGCCACACGCGCTGACCGAGGGCCTCTCTGCGCTGCGGATCACTCCCACAGACGCCGCCAGCGGAGATCAGCAATCGCCGCCGTCGAGTGACGCGCCGGCAGCTGAGGAGCGATGCCGTCCGATGCCCCACAAGGGCCGGAAGGGCGGCGCTCACGACGACAGGACGCGGGAGTGCCGTGTGTGCGGCCAAGGGAAGAAGATTCTCTTCCGCTGCAAATGGCGGAAGGAACAAAGGCAGTGGGACTTCGGTGAGCAGCGACACAACACAGCAGAGAGACAGGGAGGGAGGGAGGGAGAGGGTAAGGAGTGCACTCGTCATTGTCTGTCTTTCTGTGTGTGTATGTGTGTGTGTGCAGTGTGTCGTGTGTGTTGGCCGTCAGTGTCTGGTGCCGAGAGCTCTCGACACGCGACGCTCGGCAGCGACGGCATGGCCCTCATCCCAAACACACACTACCGATACGGCGGTGCGCACACCACACAGACACACACACAGAGATCGACCCCCCCACACACATCTCTCTCTCTCTCTCTCTGTGTGTGTGTGTGTGCGCAGGTACCTGGAAGGCCGTGATTGGCGATGTTCCTCAAGACGACTGACCGGCCGGGTGGCGTCTTGGCTGCTGTCTGGGGCGAAGCCCCGGCGGCCAGTGGATGAGTGTGTGCAGAGAGATGTCATGTTGATGTGTCGATAACTGGCGGGTCCGGGTGTGTGGATGAATGGACGTCCGTTGATATATATAAGACTGAGCGGCTGGCGCTGTGGTTCGTTGGTTCGATCGCAGAGATCGGTCGACTCTTCGAGGCCGACGTAGAGGAGGGGGGCTTTGACGCGGAGGGGACGCTCAAAGCCCCCCTTGTTGCTCAGCCTCAAAGAAGCGGGCGATCTCAGTGATCATGTGAGCCAACCGTTAAGGACACAGACAGACAGACAGACAGACAGACAGAGGGGGTCGGCGGGTTCGTTTGCCGTGTCCTTAAGCCACATGCCTTCCACGTGCGGTCTGTGATCCTGGCGACTGGATCAGACCGAGACGTGGGGTGGGGGTGGCTCGAGGGCATTGCCGGCGGAAGCACCGCAGTGATGCACTCCAGTCACCACTGTTGTTGTCTTGTTTTGTTGATGTGAGTGCGTGTCCATGCGGTGGGAGAGAGTCGATTACATCTTGACAGAAACTACCAGCAAGGCATTTGCTGTCTCCCCGTATACACCCACACACTGCCATCTCGATGAAGGGGGCAGAAGGGTCCCTCGATCATCAGATAAACCCTGCTGCCCTCTCTCTCCCTCCTGCCCGGCCATTTATGTATGTATTCCATCTGCTCGGCCGCCACGCCTCGACCGTTAACAAGAAACTCGTAAAGGTCTGTGTCTTGTCTTGTCATTCACCACCACGCTAATTAATGAGAAAGCAGCATTGAGAGACAGACAGTGTTCTCAATGCGAGTCAACACCGCACATCGCATACCACGCATCGCATCATGAATCATCGGACGGCCCTTAGCTAGAGGACAAACAACTTGACTAAGTTTGCCAGGGCCGAAATGAGACAGACAGACCATGACGTGGTCGACCGGGCTGTGCAGTGAGTGAGTGGCGTATGCGATGCATGGATGCCCCATGCGGCTGGCTGATTGATCCACTGCAGGATAAGACACCGGCCAATCTGAGCCTACTTAAAAAGGGGTCCTCTAATGGAGTGAGTGGGAGGCCGTCGGAGGCTCTTCGCAGACAGCAAGCAGGACACGCTGCCGTTCGAACGAGCCCGCCGACCCCGTCAGTCAGCATCTCCAGTCTCTGCTGTGTGTGCGGAGAGCCATTCATTCAGCAGTATAGTCCTCCTTCGAATTAAGGATCCTCACTCCCTTGATCCCTGTCAGATCCGATGTGAGTGAAGAGAATATCCGGCACTGAGCCACACGCATGCCATAACGGTCACAAATGTGTACAGTGTGCCTGCTGGCCTTTCTCGACAAATGAGACACCTTCTTTCTCGACGATTGAGACGGACCTTCACGAAATTATTTTCCCTCTTGAACGACGCCTTCCTTCGCATGCGTTCAATCCTGCGTTCCCGGTTTCCTCCGCTCGCTCGTCTTTGCCGTGAGAAGAGGTGTCTACGCAGCTTTGGGAGCCACAGATATATAGAGCTTCCTTCGCTTGAGCAGCAGCGCGACAGCACAACAGGACGTCGCGCCCGTCGATCGACACGGACCACGTGTGTCCCCGTGTGATTTCACAACCGCAACAGCAGCCGTACAGTAGCAGACCATGGTGCACCATCAGCACCTCTTGGTGCGCCAGCGGCCTCTCTTCGTGCGTCTGCAGAGGCCGCCCGGCGATCCCCACTCGGCAAGGCAGCAGCCGCAGTGGAGTGCGCAGCCCAGGGCGGACCGCACCACAGCCACAGTCAAGGAGCCGGCCGACAGCAATGGTAGAGGGTTCGTGGGGTTTTTGTGTTGCCGAGGTCCGCACAGCGCCGCCGGGGAGAGGGAGGCGGAGGTAGTGGTGTTGCCGAGAGGGAGAAGGGAGGAGGAGGAGGAGGAGGAGTGGTCGGGTGATGTGGGGTGTGACGAGTCTGACGGCAGCCACCAGGTGCCGCACACGAGCATCAGCAGCCGCAACCGCACGACGACCACAGGGGAGGGAGGTGAGGAGGACATCGGCGAGGACATCGGCGAGGAGGGCACCATCCCTGCAGTGCCGTGCAGCGCCATCACCAGCGCATCGACCAAGGATGGGGCGGATGGACAGGTACGTACGTGTGCACTTACTCTACTGTATATATCATCTGCAACAACAGGGTCACGTGTTGACACTGACTGACTGATGTGATGTGATGTGATGTGTGTTCCATCTGTTGTCTGCCTTTCCATCGACCGACAGGTTGTCGCCAAGTTCGGCCCCGACGACATGTCCACCAGAAAGTCGCCCGTACCCGACTCTCCCCCAGCCGCCGGCGCATCGCAGCGAGCCACCGGGCCGCCGGACTCGCCCCCTCACGACTCATCTCCGAGCGACGAGTTCACCACCCCACCCCCCTTGCTCAACCCCATCTACTCAGGACAGGAGGCGCCACGCCTCTCCCCCCTTCCACCCACCATCGCCCCCGGTGCCATCCTGCCGCTCGGTCAGGGCATGTCTTCGAGTGTGAGGTGCTGCCGTCAGGAGGGCGGGGGGAGTTCTGTGTGGTGCTGGGGCAGTTGAGGAGGGGCGACGGGGTAAGCAGTGTGCCGGCAGTCCTCAAGTGCATCGAGGACGACATGCGGGAGGTCGGGAGGGAGCGGGCGTTGGAGCTGGCCAGGGCGTTGCAGCTGGAGGCTGACGTCCTCAGGGCCGCCAAGACGGCCGTCGCCAGGGTGCGTCAGCTGTGGCATGACGCCCTCGGCAGCGAACAGCCCTTCGCAGAGGCCACCAGGGTAGTGCCTGAGCTGGTGTTCGAGGCCGCCGACGTGCCCATGTTGCGGCCGGTGGTGACGGAGGAGGGGGAGCGGATGGAGGGAGCGGGCATGTGTGTAGTCATGAGCAAGATAGGGGACGGTACGGACACGTACACACACAGAGCCAGAGAGAGACGAGACAGAGGGATGGAGTTCTATACACTTACTTACGTCTGTCCTCTCTGTCTGTGTGTGTGCATGTGTTTGTGTTTGTGTTTGTGTGTGTATCTCTCAGGGGTTTCGTTGACGGAGTTTGCCGCTCGGTACATACCGGTTGCGCCGCTCACCAACGCCACGGTCGCCGTCAACACGGTCAAGGCCGTCCTCGCCCTGCACGCCGCCCACCTGACCAACGGTGACCTCCATGGAGGCAACACCGTCCTGGCCAACGAGCGGACGGGCGAGGTCGGCCTCATCGACTTTGAGGCCGGCCGCAACCTGCGCCACAGCACCCATTCCCCCCTGACGACTCGGCCTGGCCCGCCCTGCACGTCTGTGGGGAATCTGGAGGCCATCGTGGACGGGCGGGCAATGCGCGACGAGGCCATCGACTACTACTCTGACCTCACGGCCGTCGCCTGCTCGCTTGTCCGGTTGGCCTTCGATGACGCCACGCTGCGGCGGGGAGCGTACGAGCGGGCGGGGGTGCTGGTCCACGAGGTGGTCAAGAAGTGCGAGGACGGCCGCATCACCACCGTCGAGGCGGCCAAGCTCGAGTACATGGCCGCCATCCACAAGGCCCACGCCAAGGCCGTCTCCGCCACTCAGCGCGACAAGAAGCTGACAGCCGAGACGAGGGCGGTGTCACACAAGACACTGAACTTGTTTCGAGACGTGTGTGTGGGGCATGCTGAGGGGGCGCCGGCAAACCAGCTGCACCAGATGATGGCCGACTACACCGAGGACGTCACAGCCGGTAAGTTACATAGCTACTTAGCTACTTGATGGGTGGGTGGGTCAGTCAGTGGCTGGGGAGGGGACACTGGAGCGATCTCATTCATTCGTGTGTGTCTGTGTGCATATACATATTGTGCTGTGTGTGAGTGCAGATGTCATCAGGATTGCCAGGGGATGGCCCGACTACCTGACGCCACCTGAGCCAAGTGAGCCCTCTTCACCCACTCACTCAGAGAGAGATTTGGCGATGTGTGTGAGGCGACGGCGAGTGACATGGTGTGTGCGTGTGTGTGTTGTGCTGTCGTGTTGACTGACCTTTCAGCCACAATGGAGGCTATGCTCGCAAAACTCGGCCTGAAGCGCTGACCCGCCCGCACCACAAACACATCGGCACCATCAACCAGGCAGAGAGAGGAAACCATAGCTTGGCTGTTTGGCGACGGAGGATGGCCTGGGTGCGGGGATCCCTGCGTGTAGTCCGGAGGGGCGTCTGTGGTGGTGGGGGAGTTTTGAGTGGGTCCTGTCTGCTGCTGCCTCTCTTCTCTCTCTCTTTCTCTCTCTCTCTCTCTTGGTCTCTCTCTTCAGTCTGTCTGTATGGGCTGTTGTCTCTCTCCGATCGGTCAGGTGTTGATCAATCGTTGCCTACATATTATATCTCGAAGGCCTTTCAGTACAATGCCACTGCAGCAACCACCCATTTATATGTGCGCCGTACACTGGTGTACGTCTGAGCATGTGGTGCCTCGAATCAAGTATTCCTGCCTGCTGCGTGTAGGATGGAGTAAGGCAGCTGGCTGCTGGCTGTGGGTTGATGGTTGATGGATGGACAGAGCAATAACTGATAATTGTTCGTGTGTCCATGCGCTGGGCCAGAGTCGATCACATATTGACAGAAACTAGCAGCAGAGCATTTGCTATCTACGTATACACACAGACACACTGTTCAGCACACCCTCAGCAAAATCTGCCCTCTCCTGCCCATTCCATTTGCTCGCTCGCCACGCCCTCGACCGTTCGACGTCTGTGTCAGACTCTTCCTTCTGCAGCGGCACGCTAATAAAAGAGTGTCAGTGAAAGACAGCTCTTGTCTTGGCAGTGATAAGTACATCCCACATCACACATCATGATCACGGCCCTTAGAGGACAAACAACACTCAGGGCCCCATTCGGCCCACACCACTACCTCCCGACAGACTCGACAGACTCCTGGATTGGATGTGCGTTGTTGAAAGACGATGCGTGTGTGTGTGAAGGATTCGATTATTGAGTTGACACACGGACATGTCACTCATGAATGTGTCGATCCATCCATCCATCCATCCAATTGATCCATCCGTCTGTCTGTTTGTCATTGAGCATGTTTATCCATCAGTCGGGGCGTCTGCTCTCATCGTCGGCGACTGAGGCACACACACATACACACACACACACACATGGCGCGTCTGTCTGTCTGTCTGTCTGTGTGTCTATCTGTGTGTCTGTCAGTCTCTTACCTTCGGTTCTGTCTGTGATCGATCACATAATCACACAGCTGCCCTTGGGGCCTGCTGCTGAGGACATGCCGCCGCTCCCAGATGATGAAGACGAGCTGCTGCCAGGCCCCTTGCCGTTCGCGTCGTCGTTTCCGTCCCCCTTGTCAGCTCCGCCGTTGTTGCCCTTGTCGAAGAAGGCTCCGAACATGAAGCCTGAAGGTGTGACACGAGACACATGATACACACCTTCCTTGACGTGTTGCGTTTGCTCTCTGCGTGCGTCTGTGCATACGTTTTCCGTGGCTTTTCTTCCAGGACTCCGAGGGGCGGAGCACGTGCTCAATCAAGTTACGGATCTCGAAAATCGTCATCGGAAGCCCGTACTCCGCCTCGAATTCTTGAGTCGTCCGCGCAAGCAGGTAGTTCATCCACCTCCGCTCGATCTCGACCCGAGGCAGGTGGGCGTAGACCTGGGCGAGAGTCCAGCCGAGTTCCTGAGCCACGTGCTGCACACACACAAAACAGAGACAGACAGACAGACAGACACAGACAGACAGACAGACACGTGTGTGTGTGTGAGTGAGTGTGTTTGTGTCACTTCAGTGGCCGACAGCGGCAGGGCTTGGTAGATCGACAACACGATCTCTGCACAAAACGACACGACACAGCACACACGTCGGTTGGCCGCACAAGCATCCACGTCGTGATGGTGATGGCTGACGGTAGGTACCGTGGGGTGTCCTCGGCGGCTCTGCACGCGACACACACACACAAGCGGATGCACCCACACATGATCATTCATGTCTCGGCCGGGCCGCCAAATGTGTGTGATTGACTGACTCACTTGCGTTGGTCGCTGTGCCGTTGGCGGCGAGTTTGACCATGTTCACTTCGCCAAGGAGGCAGAGCAACAGGATGAGCACCGACGACAGGCCAGGCATTGTGTGGTGTGGCTCAATCAATCGACCAACAGAAACCAACCAACCAATCAACAGTAGTCAATGAGTCAATCGATCAATGCCCTTTGCCTGCTTGATCAATGATCGATTGACTCAAAATGCGTAAGTACGTACACACACGGACCGATCGATCGATCGGTCGGTCGGTCGACAGTTTGACTTTATTAAATTGCTCCCTCGCCGCAGCGCTGCACTAATATGTCAACCAACAGATGGATGATCGATGTGGCCTGCCTGGAATTCATCTTTCGTCAAATCATGGAAGGCATCACCGCCAACACCACAGACCACAGAAACGACACCAACTCGCTCTCTCTCACTGGCCGGCCGCCCGCCTCCCACACAAATGCATCTGCACACCTTTTCGTTGGGGCCCGGGGGGCTGGTCCTCCGTGTCAACCGACCCGCAATACACATACGTCGAGGTGTCCTTCCTACTGACTGACATGCACTCAACACAAAACATTAACCACTGTCCACCAACCAAACCCACCACACGCCGAAACGACACACTGGCGAGGGCAAACCCACACTGCTCTCGAGCTCGAGGACAGTCTCCTCGACGGCTGACATTGTATCTCCTGTGTGCAAGAGCCACTCAATCACAAGAAGAACCGGAGCAAACACCAAACCAACAACTTGCAGCTAGCGAAGAGAGCGAAAGCGATCGAGATGCGTAGATACATACGAACAGAAGCTGTAGGCTGTAGGCTGTACGTACATACTACGTGTCCCCCTGCTTCTTGATGCATAAATGCCATTTGACTGACTGACTGACCCGCTGCTCTATATCCTTGCAAAATGCCACAAAACAGATGGAAAAGGCGCCGCCTCGTTGACGCTCACTTGTACCGACTCAGTGAAAAATTGCAGCTCGTCACTCGCTCCTTCAGTTGTCTGTCCACTCACTCATTGTCACACACGTCGTGTCCTTCCGTCTGTGTGACTTCACTCATCTGACATAGACTCCGACCGAAGAGACGCCCTTCATTGTCGACCCTGACACACAGACACACACATCACACACAGACAGCCACGATGACATGGATGGCCGAATGCCCCCAGATAACGACGGAATGGGGTATCGGCGTGAGTGAGTGCCCACCATGAAGCTCATGATCGTGCGCGTGTGTGTGCTGCTGGTGCTGATTGCCCTGGCTCGGTCTCCTCCCGGTATCGGTGGCATGGAAAACAGACATGCGACACGCGACATGATTGCACGCGTGCGTGTGTGTGGGCGTTGTTTGTGTGCAGTGCTGCATACGGCAACGGAACATGAGATGCACCGTGAGACACAATTGCACGTAACGACAGGCCATTTGTCTCAAGTGTGCAATAGACCTCCATTTGGCCCATCTCAAGTGTGGAATAGACCCGGTGAACCAACCGAGCCTATTCAATCCTCGGGATGGGGCAGACAGAGGTCACAGACACACAGACACGGCATGATCTGCTGCACACATTTCTATGTATGTGTGTGTGTGTAGTACGCCGCTCACAAGCACGACATACCACTTCACATGGATCCGTACCGAGGTGGAGGCGGAGTGGATGGCATACATGCTAACACAGACCTGGCAGGCGGAGTGACCATTCGGCCGATCTGTGCGATCATGTAGGCGATCCATTACGCCTCCACCTCAGTCATATATCAACGTCCATTCGTGTGCCCAGACAGAAACGCCAGTTATCGACACATCAACATGACATCTCTCTGCACCCACTCATGTATATGACCACCGACCGGGGCTTCTGTGCCCCAGACAGCAGCCAAGACGCCACCCGGCCGGTCAGTCGTCTGGAGGAACATCGCCAATCACGGCCTTCCACGTCCCTGCGCACACACACACACACACAGAGAGAGAGAGAGAGAGATGTGTGTGTGTGTCATCTCTGTGTGTGTGTCTGTGTGGTGTGCGCACCGCCGTATCGGTAGTGTGTGTTTGGGATGAGGGCCATGCCGTCGCTGCCGAGCGTCGCGTGTCGAGAGCTCTCGGCACCAGACACTGACGGCCAACACACACGACACACTGCACACACACATACACACACAGAAAGACAGACAATGACGAGTGCACTCCTTACCCTCTCCCTCCCTCCCTCCCTCCCTCCCTGCCTCTCTGCTGTGTTGTGTCGCTGCTCACCGAAGTCCCACTGCCTTTGGTCCTTCCGCCATTTGCAGCGGAAGAGCATCTTCTTCCCTTGGCCACACACACGGCACTCCCGCGTCCTCTCGTCGTGAGCGCCGCCCTTCCGGCCCTTGTGGGGCATCGGACGGCATCGCTCCTCAGCTGCCGGCGCGTCACTTGACGGCGGCGATTGCTGATCTCCGCTGGCGGCGTCTGTGGGAGTGATCCGCAGCGCAGAGAGGCCCTCGGTCAGCGTGTGTGGCTCATCGCCTGCGGGATGCTCGTTCGCAGCCACGGAGGGGGCCGATGGGGGGCTGTCGGCAGTGTCTCGTGGTGGATGCGTGTCGTCGTGCTCGTGTGGCGCATCGGCGGCTCTGGCGTCGGTTCTCTGCTGTGCCTTCCGTTGATTGCGACACCGGTCAGAGCACGTCTGAATCTCATCCCAACACCTGCACATGACAACAATGCCGAGATGCTGCACACACGGCAGGCATCCTCGGCTTGGTTTGTCAGCTGAGCGTACCTCTCCCATTTCTTGCGCCAGGTGAAGGGGCGCTGGCAGATGACACACACCTTGGGAGGAATGCCCTTGTGGTTCCGTTGCTAGGCGGGCGGGGAAGCAACCCGGCGGGGAAAGGCGCGCCAGAAGCGAGCTTAGCTCGCAGATCCCCCTTCTCTCCCCTCCCCTTCTTTTCAGAAGTTGGAGAGAGTCAGTGCACAACGTCCCTCCACACGCTCTTACATCGGTATGTCGTTTCGGACCTCGTTGCAATGAAGAAAGCCTGCTTCTGGGATGCGTTTGAGCCTCCAGCAATGGTGAAGGTCCTCGTTGCTCTTGCTGTGCTGGCTTATCGCCCCGTGTGGTCGTCAAAGGGCCTGGTGGACATATTTGGTTCCAGCGAGTCGAGCTACGCGTATGACGCGTGTGACGTCAAGTACCTGGCGGGCGGCTCCTACGACATCATCAAATTCAGAAGCGAGTCAGCCGAAACACACTGCAACACACATCGACAGCAACACATCTGTCTGTGTCCTTCTGCGTGTGTGCAGCCCCGGCCCCACACAGGGTCTGTCGATGTGCGGCACGTGGAATGGTGCTGCAACAGCGACACCGAGAGCTCCTTCAAGCAGGTCCTGCTGCGGGCAGAGAAGAAGTTCCGCCTCCTCTACAAGGACGCCGCCGCCGCCGACAGAGTCATTATGCTCAAGGCCAAGTACAACGCACTGAGGGAGCGGCTCTCGGAGAAGGAATACGACCCGAGAGGTGTGACGAATTCGATAAAAGACGCTGCTGTGCACTGTGTGTGTGCCATTGGTGCGAGTAGGTGCGAAGGAGATTGACTTGGCCTTTACTGACTTCACTCGGCTGGCGTGGAAGGCCCAGACGGACGTGCAGCGGATCTTCACATCCATCAGCTTCCAAGAGTGCCAGGTAGACGACGAGTGAGACACACCACATATCGATGGACACATCCATTTGTGTGCGTGGGGCTGTGACCCACAGGTGGAGGTGCTGCACTATTATCACAACTTCATGTGCACGCTGTGCACGCCCGAGCTCAAGAAGGACTACATCAAGGACGGCGAGCTCAACGTGCTGGAGACGTCTGCCTGCCAGCCCGTCTACGACAAATGCGACAAAGCCATCAACAACATCCACTTCAGGGTATGTAGCCTGTATCCATGACACACACGTCTCTCTCCCTCTCCCCGCTACTGTGTTATGTCTCAGATGCGCCGCGTGGCCGAGGAGTTCGCCTACTTTCGTCGCGCCTCTGAGCGCTTTGTGGCTGAGTACACCCGTGTGATCCAGAGGAAGGCCGGCGTGACCACCACAGCAGCGCCCGAGACTGCCAACACGACAACGACCACCACCACCTCATCCACAGAGGTGCCACCGGCCATGGTGGAAAAGGATGAAGTCGTCCAGGCTGCGCAGGTGGGCGGTTGATGTGATGCGCTCCATGGGCGAGAGAGACATCAACTTTGGGAGTGTTTATGGCCGTCAGGATCTCACGAACGCTGTCGATCAGGCGCACTTGGTGATCCAATTGACGCAGACACACTCACGAGGATGTGTGGCTCCATTTTTCATTTCCTTTTCTCACAGAGTCTTCTGCAGCTCACCGGCAGCAGCACCCACCGCACGCACACCCACACGCACTCCCACCGGGCTGCTGGAGACGATGGCAGAAGCGCCGAGGGGCCCCCGCCATCAGACGATGACAATGGCGAGAGCAGCAACGCCACAGACACGGTGCCGGGAGGTGTGTTTGACGACGACCCTGCCGAGAACGAGAAGCTCCTCTTCGACCTCATTCCCGAGGAGAAGGTGTTTCCCGACTCGAGGAGCTTCTGCGACGCTTTCCTCTCCAGTAAGTCAGTTGACGAGAAGACAGTGTGTGGGAGAAGTCTCAGAGCATCCGTGTTGCGTTCGTGTGTCAGATTTGCATGTGGAGGATTTTGCGGCGCGGATGCTGTATGACAAGCGCAACATCACTTACCAGATGCAGGATGCCACCCAAGAGAACAGCCAGGACTGGAAGGTCCGCCATACGCATAAGGCTGCTCAACACACGCCATATGCATTGTGACGCTGCAGGAGTTCGCCCACATATTGTCTGCGGAGGCGCACGAGACGATCGACAACCCGCTGCAGGAGGTCATCCACACACAGAGAGAGAAGGAGGAGGAGGAGACGCTCTCATTCGTCCAAATGACCAGCCAAGTTACGGCCCATGGCAGTGGCAGTGGCAGTGGCAAGCACCACTCGCACAAGCACCACCACCGTCACCACCACGATCATGGGAAGCACCACCGCAGGAAACCCCCTCAAGGTGACGAAAACCACCCAGACAAACACGAGACACGACCAGCACCGTCTTGTGTCTCGCCTCAGCGTTTGTGGAGCACACCATCGCGAAGACTCGTCAGCTGCCGCAGCTGGATGAGAGCTTCCCGGTCCTGTTTGACCTTGCGAGGGTGTGCGACGCGGCGCACATGTCTCACTACCAGCAGCTGTACTTCCAGCTGCAGTTCCTCCCAAACGTGCCGCCAACTGACCCCAACAACCCCAGGAGACGCTTCGCCGTACACACACCCAAAATCGGTCAGTTGGCAAAGAACAAGGGGAGGTGAGGGGTCTGTCCTGAGCGTTCTGACTGCTTATACAGATGAGAGTGGGACTGAGTGCACGATAGAGCGGAAAGGGCTGCGGCCTGGGGAGCCGATGTACTGCTTCTTCCCCATGGACTCGAGCAAACACGGCACTCTGGTCAGCCAAAGAGTGTAGAGAGCGGGCGGGCGATGTGATGTGTCTGTTGCTGTGCCGCCCACGTGTGCAGGAGGAGATAGCCAAGCTAGACGCGTCTCAGAAGGACCTGAAGACGTGTGCCAAGCACTCCCCCACTAATGAAGACCCGGAGGAGTACAACTGGTGCTGGACCGACCCACCCATCCCTGAGTGAGCCACGGAGTCTGGGAGGGCGGTGTTTGCATTCTCACGCGAGACATACATCCATGTCGTGTGTGTGTGTGTGGGGTTCATGCAGGTCTCAGTGGCTGAATGGCGTGACCCGTCGGTGGGGCAAGTGCGAGAGCACTGACGTCTGCCTCAACCCAGACACACCAGTCTGGACGTCCAAAGGCAACGAACGCTCCAAACACCCAGATACAACATAGAGAGACACACACGCCCTCTCTCCCTGTCTGCCTGCCTGTCTGCCTGCCTGTCAGATGGGTCGTCCAAGTGTCCGCACCCCAATGATGGCCGTCGTAGGCCGCCCGCGACGTACGGCGGCTATCCATCAGGCCCAGCGGCTGGACTGCTGGAAGGGGAGAGGGTCCTCATGGTGAGTGAGATGAGACAAAGCATAGAGTGGACGGGCATGCAGTGGATGTGTGAGCTGTGGATGTTTGTTAGGATGAGCCGCGGATAGACTATGAGCCGCTGGGTGCCGGGGATATCAGGGCCACGTTCAAGAAATCAAGTCTGTGTCTGCTTTCAGGCGCGCCTCTCGTCCATGTGTGCATGGGTGTGTGTGTGTGTGTGTGCAGGAGTGGCGCTGAAGGAAGCTGACCATCAGTACCAAGACAGCGACTACAAACGAGACTTAGACGAACTGGTAATGACATTTGGTGCACATGGCACACACCATCTCAACACCCCCCGTGTGTCTGTCTGTTCAACTTCCACACTCATACAGGCTGATATAAAGGCGCGAAGCCACGGGCACAGACGAGCCACCTTCTTGCCTCTCTGGCTGGCTCTCGTCCTTGTCTGCATGGTGGCCCTCACAAGACAGTGATTGGGCACACCGTCTGTTGCTACTGCTGAATGGATCGCACTCGCCGATGAATCGCACTCACTGTATGTTATGCCGTGTGTCTGTTTACTGTGTGTGGTCATCGTCGAGTAGGACATTCGTCTTTCTTGTGTCTTGCTTTGTGGACTCGCTCATGTCCTCTCTGTGCTCGAGCAATGACTGCTCTGTGTGTGTCTAGGTTTGGGTGTGGCCATCCATCCATCAGTGGGCGGGCAAGTCATCACCTGGCTGTCCGTACGTTCGTCACACATGAGCCTGTCCGTCTGTCTGGCCAACTATGTACACATCTACAAGTGGTCGCTCCAACCGAACACTCGCGCCAAGCCCACAACTGAAGTGCTCACAAGACCCCCTCCCCAGCAGATCTACCCGCCTCACTCCAGCTTCATCTTCAGTCTGCGCGTGACAGCGATGACGGGCCCCTCATACTTGACGGGCTGCACCGGCTCCTTCTCAAGGGGCGCTGGAGGGACATTCACCTGTTGTCAAAACAAACACACACACACACACAGACAGACAGAGAGCGATGGTTCCACGCAGTCCCGTGCAGTCAGTGTACATGCTCATCGACTGACCTCTTCTCCCGGTTTGAGCAGCCCGACACTCATGGGCGACATGTGCCCCACAAAGGCGTCGTTCCAATCCCGTGTTCTCTCCTCCGTCCACGGCTTGGCCTTCTTGTCAAACAGAGTCGGGTTCTTTATCTCGTCCATGACAATCCAGCTGACGCCGAAGAAGATGCCCGTCGCCCACACGCACACCCTCCACTGCGGGCTGCCCTGCAGCGGCGCGTACCGCTTGAAGTTCCGCCACCACTTCTTGAACGACCCAAGAGGTGAGCCTACCGCTACGGACTCTGGCGGAGGAAGCTTGGGTGGTGGCTGGTGAAGGTTAAACGGATCCAGACTCATCTTCGGCGGTTTTCTTGGGGCGAGCTAAACCCTGAAACCCTTACCCAAAACGACTTCGAGAGAACGCGCTCCTTTTTGTTTTGGTTCTCGGTCGCGCCACAGAGTACGCCTGCAGATCCGACTGGTGTGTGTTTGGTGATTCATCACCACTTTTTCGGACAAGCAAGATTCCAAGGCTATTGGTGCCAGATTGGGCCATGGACAAGCGCCCGGAGACTCTGCACGACCTCATGGGCACGCCCATGGGCGACGTGAGTGCCCACAGACGAGGCTGCACGAGATTGTTGCGTACTTACTGTGGTCGGTTGGTGCAGGTGGTGGGGTGGCTGGAGCCCCAGGACACTTGTATCCTCGACAAGAGGGAAAAACTCAGCAAGTGAGAACGAACGAGTTCGTTCATTGGGGGTGTGTGTTTGATCATGGGGTGCGCGTGTGGTTGTGCATCATGGCTGCAGGTGTCTGACCGAGTTGCACCGTCGCGGTCTGCGCAGCTGTGTGGTCAAGGACGCCAACATGTTCCTCTTCTTCGAAACATCAGCCACATTCCACATCATGGACATGCGGGTACACCACAGCACAGCACAGCACAACAGACACATACGCACCCTCCCAATCGCCGACCCATTCTTTCATATGTCGCGTATGTGTCACATGCAGGACGTCAACTGCTACGTGATGGATCTGATCCGCAAGCTAGAGGCCGAGAAGGCCCGAGGGAGCGGTGCGGCACCGGCAGAGGCCCCACCACCGCCAGCGGCCAGCAAGAAGGACAAGGACACCGTCACCATCTCGCTGACCGGCGTCACCAAGGCCCTGCAGCCAACAGACATCGGGGGCATTGCAAGTGAGCTGATAGGGACAGAGTGGGGAGAGGGAAGTCACGTGCAAATGGCCACACACGTGTGCTGTGCTGTGCCGTGTTGTCTTCTTTTGTAATGCAGATTACAGCAAGAAGAACGGCCCGCGTCCGTTGGACGCGAGTGAGACCCTCCGCGATGCGCTCAAGGCGTTCGAGGACAGCCCCAGAGTGTAAGGAGGACGTACCCTCATCCATCCATCCATCCATCTGTGTGTGTGTGTGTGTGTGGTGTTTGGTTTGTGGTGCTTGGTCAGTCCGGTGCTGCTGAACTCGAAGCTGCTTCGCATATTCAGCGCCGTCGACTTCTTCCAAATACTCAAGGTGAGAAGCAAATGGAGACCCTTTAACAGTGCATTTGTCTGTCTGTCTGTCTGTTCAACAGGAGGGCAAGTACCTGCCGGAGATCGAGAGCATGTCGGTAAGACGTCCATCCATCCATCCGTCCATCATCCATCCACACGGGCGGCCCATCCCTTCCTCCCTCTCTCCCTCCCTCCTCGTCTATCTGTGTATGCCTCCCTGCAGCCGTTGAAGCACACGGACAGCTTCCCCCTGGATGTCGTCGCCCTCAACGAAGCAGACACACTTTTCAAAGTGAGCCAGTCAGGGACAGAACCAGCGACTGTGATCCCTCCCGCGTGTGTGCGTGCATGTGTGTGTGCGTGTGTGTGTGTGGTTGGTTGCTTAGGCGATGCGTCTGTTTGAGAGCACGGGTTACTCTGCGCTGCCCATCACTGAGGGCACCGAGAGCCCCGGCGGCAGGGGCAGGACACTCGCAGTCATATCCGTCAGAGACCTCGCGGTCAGCTCACTTAACACACATGGCACACAGCACAGCACGGCACGCAGTAGTCTGTGTGTGGTGTGCATCGAGTGTGTCGTGCGTGTCCGTGTGCGTGTGTCAGTCGCTGGCCATCCACAATGGGCTGCATCCTGAAAGCGTCTTCAACGAGCCCGCGGTAGCCATGCCATCCTGACACTCGACTGTGGAGGCTCGTGGTGTGGTGTTGTGTGTGTTGTGTGCAGATAGAGTTTTTGACCCGTGTGCGTCAGCAGGACGTGACGGGCAAGACGGGCAAGTCGCGCTTCCCCTACATCCACGTGCCGCACGACGCCACGCTGCAGATGGTCGTGTCGAAACTCATCACCACACGGGTATGTATGGGAAGCTTACCCGGTCTCTCTTTTTCCTCTTCCTCTTTCTCTCCCTCTCTCAAAATCAATAAACCATCTCGTGGTTGTCTGTGTGCGCGTGCAGATCCACCGTGTTTTGTTGTGTGACCAGAACGACAACGTCACCGGTAAGTGCGCATCCATGTTGGGGTGCGTGTGACTCGATGGATGGATGGATGGATGTGTTGTCAGGTGTGTTGTCGATCACCGACGTGGCCAAGCGGCTGGGCAGAGTGCTCTAGAGCCCACTCTATCTGTGTGTGGTTTAACTAAGCCCCTCCAGTTGGCCACGGAGGGGGGCCTCAATTTCTCCTCCTTCCCTCTCATTTCTCGTACTCAGTCGGTGGGTGTGTGGAATCTTAGCCAGGGAGACGCACAGCCAAATCGGGTCTAGCTCTTGTCGCTCGTGGCTGTCGGCGTGCCAGTGTGTGAGTGGGGTGTGTGTGTGTGTGTGTGTGTGTGGGAGGGGGCGGGAGGGGGAGGGGGCCAGGGAGCATTCGTTGCGGCGGGGTGTGGGGTTATTTCACCTGTCGCGTCAATTGCTGAGCCGTGCCATGTGTGTTGTGGTGATTAACATGTGAGTTTGTAAATATGGGCTAGCTGCTACACGCTCCGCTGCTTCGGATGCACCACACGATGCGCACACCCAACTGAATAACGGACTGTCTCTCTCTCTCTCGTGCGTGGTGTGTGTGTATTTTTGCCTGTCTGTCTGTCTGTGATTGGTGTGACCAGCTGAGCTGTCTCTCTCTACAGTGCAGTGTGTGTCTACTGTACATATAAGATGAGAAGGAATGAATACTGACCGCCACATTGGTCCGTTGACGCTACGCTGCTTGGCTTGTATTGCTTGCTGCCTTTAAATGATAATGAATGAATCATGCCCTGACACACACCCACACAGACACACCGCGACACCGACACGCACTCACAGACGCGGCAAGCTGCACACAAATGGGACAAGCCATCTGTCTGTCTGTCTAGCTGCCCAGCTGCACCGACTGCACAATCGACTGCTGCAAGAAGTCCCTCTGAGCGATCCACTTCTCCTCAGCTGACCCGCTCCGGCCTCCCGCAGACGCCCATGCAGCAAGATCCAGCTGACACACACACATCCGTCCATCCCTCCCTCCTTGTCATGATTGATGGTGCGCCTACCGTGGCAACGCGGCAGCCCAGTTTCTGCAGCGCCCTCTGCCTCAGTCGAAATGGCGCCGTCCACTCCCCCATCGCAAATGTGGGCATCGAGTAGGCGGCATCCCCCTCTCCCTCTCCCTCCTTCTCTCTGTCCGGCTTGTGGTCAATGTCCGTCCTGTATCTGTTGACATCGCCGTCAGGCTCCACAACGATCCGCTCCACACAGCCGGCGGCTCCATGCTCCATCTCAATCACGCCCGTCACAGCCAGCGGCCCCACCATCTGTGTGGGTGCCTCCCATCCACCCTTGCCCCGCCCGCCCCACCCCCACTGGCTCGCCGTCTTGACCACACGCACAGAGGGCACCTCCTCCATCTGCTGCAGCAGCGAGATGGGCAGAGGGATGGGCGAGGGCAGGAACACCCCGGGGTAGAACGGATCGCTCATGTGCGGCGCCTTGGATATGCCGAGCGGGTCGGCCCGCACGTGCGAGTGGGCCACCGGGAGGGCGGCCTGGGAGATCGGTCGAGAATGCACCATGTCCAGCAGCCTCTCGAGGAGGTCCGCTTGGGAGAGGGGAACTGGTGTGTCGGGGTCGATAAAGAGGGAACAGAGGTGCAGCACCGCCAGCTGTGAGGGCGTGAGCAGTGCGTGCGATGCGTAGGGGCCGGGGAGGCGGCGCGAGAGCTCCGCCATGACGAGCGGCAGTGAGATGGAGGGTGCTGTCGATGATTGACACGATGCGCTCTCGAGGAGGCTCGCCAGGCAGAGCTGTGCGAGGGAGGGGATGGGCAGAATGGGCATCGACCGCACCAGCCGTCGAGACAGGTTCTGCCGGCTCGCCTCGTCCAACACGTCCACCAGCTGCATGGACACCACATACACACACGTCTGGTTCGATCCACCCCCATTCACGCCTTGCCACCCACCTGCAGCTCGGTCAGTGCCAGCCATATGGCGGCGTAGCAGCTGTCGATCTCTGGTGTCGGCCTTGGCTCCTCCGGAGGCGCTTTCCTCGACCAGTGCTCGACGGCCTGCAGCAGGGGGTACACAACCGACGGCAGCCGACCGCGGAGCGCCGCGACATTCTGACAAGAAAGCACACGGAAAAGTGCGCATCTCCACACACAGAGACACCGCTTGTGTGTCCTCACCTTGAGAGTGACGGCCAGCCGTCTGATCGTCTCATATCCGTCACCATGTCCATCCTCCACCAGCCCGTAGGTCAGCCCAGGGTCGGCCACCAAGGCCCTCACCGCAGCCGCCACCCCCTCGTCACCTACCATGCCGCTCGCCTCCATCGCCACACCCAGACCGCTCCATCGGTCGGGGCCCCAGCAGGACAGCTCAGTCACGATCTCCGGCACACGCACACGGTGGGCGGACTTGGTGCTGGTGCGGCTGTTGGTGTCTTGGCTTTCTTCCATTGGTGGGACGATCGTGAGAATCGCTCGGCGGGCCTTCTTGTATGGAGGGGGCGGTTGTTGCTGCGGCTGCAGCTGCTCGCTTGTGTCGTTGTCTGAGTCGAGTGTCGGCTCCTTATCGTCAAGCTCGTCAGAGAAGACGCTCTCCAACTCATGGCCGTTGGAGGGCTCTTGATTTGACCAGAATGCCGGGAAGCCTGCCGCTGCTGCTGGGGGCGGTGGTGGAGATGTCAATGGCGGTCTGGCATGCTGGATGTCTTCGTAGAACCTGACAGCTCGGTCGCACAGCTGTGTGGCCTTGACGGCCATACTCCGAAAGAGATGGGTGAACTGCCGCTCCACCTTGGCCAGAACGCCCCCTTGCCCATCCCCAGCAGCAGCCGCTGTCACCGCATGATCACCCTGCTGCGCAGAGACCACCATCATGTCACCACCCGAAGAAGCGCCCCCATCATTCTCACTAAGCAGCCGTGGCCGGTCTCCCTCCATCAGGCGGTCCCACACCCACCTCTCACGGACGGCCCTCCGCACATCCCCAGGGTCGCCCCACTCATAGCTGCTCGCCACGCCGGCCAGCGAGTGCATCACTCGCAGCAGGGACGGGCCCCTCAGGTCGTCGAGCTGCCTGTGCAGGCCGTCCACCAGCACACCGAGTAGGAGGGGATCCCTCATGTCGGTGCGGCATGAGGCGGCGAGGAGCTTGGAGAGGTCTTGGGCGTTGAAGCGCGTGTGGGTGGATGGGAGGAGTCGGGACATGTGGTAGAGAAGGGGTGGGGGGAGGGCGTTGGCGGCGGCGAGTGAGTGCAGGAGGTTGCTCGCCTGTGGCGGGCTGAAACCCCTGAAGACAGACAGACAGACACGGATATGCGACGCCTGCAGCAGTGCCGCATCCCTTCAAACCCACATGAGCTTCTCATTGGCCAGGCGTCCGATTTCCTTCAACACTCTTTCCACATCACCGTTCCCATCACCCTCTCTGCCCACCACACACCCAGCGGCCCACGCCAGCGAAGTCAGGTCCATCGCAGTCAGCTGGCCGGTCGTCACCCGCCCCTCCAAATGACACCACAGCACACTCATCAGCCGCCCATCAAGCCGCCCCCGCACCGCAAAGGCGCTCGCGACGATGGCTGCGTGCCGCGGCGACAGCGTCAGAGAGGGAGGGGGCGGGGGAGGGGACCAGCCTTCAGGCAAGTTGAGGGCCGGGGGCGGCTGGCCTGGGGGGAGGGGTGGTCGTGCCGATGAGTAACACATTGGTACAGATGAGCGCGGCAAGGCGTCGAGCAGGTGCTCGCGGATGCGCGAGAAGACCCTGTCGAACGGGCCGTGGATCTTGGACAGCGCCCACACGATGTTGGCGACGTCCTGGCTCTGGGCGGCCGGCAGCTTCGTCAAGAACAAATCTCCCAGCCGGGCAAACAGCGCCGGAAGAGCCAGGTCTGTGGCCAATCGTTGCGAAGGCGGCAGACGACTGAGGGCGTTCATCGATATGGCAATATCCGTGGCGCCGAACCGCTCACTCTTTGCCTTGATGGTGTGAACAAACAGCCGATAGAGAGCCGGGTCGTTGTACCCGGCCATGACGAAGTAGTGCAGCAGGAGGGAGATGTCCTTGGGCGCCATCTTGGGCACCTTCCTTCGCGCAAACTGCCCGAATGCGTACCACTGGCCCTCTCTGAAAGAGCCGCTGTTGAATGCATTGGACACCATCAGCCGCAGACCGACGCTCGTATGCGGGCTGAGCCGGTTCCGCCGCTTGCTGCCCAGTGCAGAGGGGGATCTGTCGATGCCATCCAGATCCACGCCGGGCGCGTCAGGCATGTAGAAAGAGGGGCGTCTGGGGTGATGGGATGTTGGCTGAGATGGAGGTGGGGAAGGAGAGGGAACAAGGCAACGCACGGAGCGCTTCATCTTCCTCTCTCCACGCCAAGCTTGCAGAGGCGGGTGCGAGCTTGGCCCGAAGGCGATTTTCTCTTCCGCTCCGTCCCAATGGCACCGAGAGTCATTGAGGTGAGCGCCAAATCATCGCATGACGAAGATCTCTCCGATTTCGACTCATAGGGTGTGTTCATTCATTGCAGGTTGAACCGTCCTTCTTTCGCCTTGATCCGGACGACGAACAGGTGCAGGAGATCGCAAAGTGCCTCCCAGGTACATCACATCCACACACACACACACACACACAGACAGAAAGATTCAGATACAAAGATAGATGGATGAATGCAACTAACTCATCTGTGTGGTGGTCTGACTGGCTGCCTGTGTCTGTGTGCCCCTTCTCTGTCTGCCAGGTTTTGACTTCAAGGGGGTGCCTGCCTTCTTTGACGTGGGCGGCATCGTCACGCAGCCCGACACCTTCCAGCGGGTGATTGACCTCTTCGTGCAGCGATACAACAGTGACCCGTCGCAGCACCGGATCACCAAGGTGGCTGGGTTCGAGGCCAGGGGGTTCGTTTTCGGTCCGCCCATCGCGTTGGCCCTCAAGGTGCCGTTCGTCATGCTCAGGAAGAAGGGGAAGCTCCCCGGGCCTGTCATGATGTCAGCTAGCATCCACAGCATTCCGTTGCAGAGGGGATGCTGTCCTCTCCTCTCTCTCTCTCTCTCTCTGTCTGTGTGTGTGTGTGTGTGTGTGTGTGTAGGTACGAGTATGAGACTGAGTACAGCCAGGACAATCTGTGCTGTGCCTGCACAGCCATCAAGGTGAGTGGAGGAATAGACTCGCCCATCCAGCCAAGCCAGCATATGAGCCGCTTCGTTTCTGTGCTTCAGGAAGGTCAGCTGGCGGCTCACATGCACAATGCTCCCATCCATCGCGTGTGGCTTCCAGGTGATCGTGTGCTGCTCATTGACGATCTCTTGGCCACTGGCGGCACACTCATTGCTGGCGCCAAGCTAGTCCAGGGGCTTGGGGGAGAGGTGGTTGAATGCTGCCTCGTCACGGTCATTGAGGGCCTCAAGGGATGGAGAAGGTAGGCGGGGCGGGTGAGCATACAGATGCAAATGGAGATGACACTTCTGAAACACATTTCTGTCTGCTGTGTGTGTGTGTAGGTTTCATGAGGCGATAAAGGAGATCCCCATCTTCACCCTGGTGGACTGTGCCAGGACGCCCTCCATGCCGGAGGGGTCCACGGCATCCTACACAGTCGAAATGCAGTACAGAAAGGCCAACGACAGTGAATGATGGAACGTACTTTATGGCGTTTGGGTGTTTACGTGCAGTTCGGAGGAGGCGCGGTGCATCCGCGATGCGGTGAAAGATGCCGACTCACGGAGCGTACTGATCAAGAGCGACGGCGGATCCTACACCACTGGCATACCCGGTGCGTGGCTGCACCCACTGCACACATGGCTTCAACAATTGCCTCATTGTCCGCTGTGGCGTGTGTGTGTGCGTGTGCGTGTGGTTCAGGTGCGGATGGCAAGTACAACGAGAGGTACCTGGAAGAGGCCGTTGAGGACACAGTCGAGACGCAGCTTGAGAAGGACAGATAGATAGATGAGACGCACACGCCACTCAGTTCTGTTCGGACGCAGGACGTGTGTTACTTGATCTGTTTGTTGGTCGATGGACGTGTGTGTGGATGGAATAAATGAAGCCGAGCCGCACGATTCAGATGGACTCATTTGTCCGTGTGACCGCATCGAAACGTTACATAGCGCTCACATTCATCATCAGTTCCATCATCAGTTGGCCAGGCCTTTTTGCGTCGAGAATAATGACCGCGACGAGACAATTTACCAAAAAGCATCTGTCCGGCGACCTCCCCTGCCCAGCCGTGCCACAAACAACAAGACCACCGCCACCACACACACCAGCGGTGGCAAAGACGACTGGGCTTCGTTTGGTGGCGACCGCGGCAGCGTGCCCTGCGGGAGAGGGCCGTAGAGATGCCGGTGGCTGAGGAGCCGGATGAGGTGTGTGCCGACGTGGGCGAGGAGGAGCCGAGCATCCTCCCCCTGCCGCACCTCAGCAACACGGCCGCCACACGCCTCCCCGACCACCGCGGCACCAGCGAGGCCGGCAGCAGCCGAGAGGCCGCGGGAGCACCAAGCCCGTCAGTAGAGGGGGAGGGAGAGGGTGAGGGTGAGGGGGAGGAGGGCGATGAGTGGCTGGCCGACTTGGGCGAGGAGGAGACCCCCATCAGCCACCTTCTTTGCAGCAGCAGCCCTTTTAGCATCGCCACTCGGGATGTAGCCGACACAACGAACGAGGATAGCAAATCGCAACAAGGCAAGTGGCGGACTGACTGGTCAGTCAGCCAGTGTGATTGGTTGATGGTCATGAGTTCAACTGTCGTATGTCTGTTGGCTGGCTCTGCGTTGCCTTCCGTTGCTCTCTCTATGTGCAGGTGTGTCAGTGGCCGAGCCGTGTGGCGAAGGACCCCCTCCCGCCCCTACCCTCGCACATGCACCACCCGCCATCCTGCGCCTGAAGAGCGGAGCCGAAGTAGAGCTCCGAGTCAAGCTCGGCGAGGGCACTCGCGGCAAGGTGATGGCCGGCGTGGTCAACAGGCGATGGATGGCCTTCAAAATGGCCATTAGGGGGGCGGCCAGCCGGACCATCTGCGAGGAGATGGAGGCCGAGAGGGCCACGATGGAGAGGCTGCAGCAGCGGAGGAGGGAGAGGGGTGAGATGGGCCTGTTTCTCGACATCTACGACTACGCGGGCCCCTCTGACGGCGCCACGTTCCGCGCGAGCCCCTCTGAGCCGCCGCAGGAGTGCCTCTACCTGGCCCAGCAGCTCGTCAACGACCCGCCCAGCAGCGACACGTTTGTGTGCCTGAACGACCTGCTGTGGGAGGAGAGCGGCGGGCTCAACCTGGCGGGCATCTCAGCAGCTCATCCACCCACACAGCCGGTCTTCGACAAGGCCATGGGGATGATTGGCAAGTTGCTGATGATGGTTAGGGCGCTGCGTGAGGCGGTCAGGGGCACCGGAGGGCCCTGGAGGACTACGACTCAATGCTGCCCTACCACTGCATGAACAACCTCTATGTCCGCAGGAGCGCCATCGCACGGGGTAAGTAAATCGATAGGTCACACACACACACGCACATACACACACAGACAGACAGACCATCAATCGCACACACCACAGATACGCACATGATGATTCCGCTTTGGTAAGTTACTTGCATTGCTTTTGTGTCGATATGATGTGGCTTGCCTGGCTCAGGTCATAGCGACGTGTCTGAGGCCGCCAACGTGATCTTCATTGACCACGGCAACACCCTTCACACGCGCACCCCCGGCCCGCTGCTCCGCCGCAAGGACGACACCACTCCCCCCCGGCCATACCCCGGCAAAGCCGCCCTCGTGCCCACAGACTCGTCGACCAGGGAAGTGGAGCGGCAGCTGGCCGGTTTCACCAACTTCGGCGGCGCCCCAGAGCAGCTGCTGTACTGGCATCGGCGGCGGCAGCTGCTCAACGATTGGTCGCAGAGAGTGGGCCCGTTCTACTTTGAGGAGCGAGAGATTCGCGGGGCAGACGGCCAGCTGTGCCGACAGAATGTCCATTCTATGGCCAATTCCGCCGTTGACGAGCTGCGGGCCGACAGGGTGGTGCCTGCTGCCCCTAAGCCTGCTCAGGGTGTGTGGATGGGCGAGCCGACGGTGGCCTTCCAGTTCGGCCTTCTCATCCACAACGTCCTCCGGGCCGAGCGGTGGCAAAGGATGCTGGAGCGGCTGGAGTCGTGGGCCGACAAATCCCACATAGAGCCGCCGGATGGCGCCACTGAGGTCGACAAGGCGATCTGCGCTCTCGGCCCCGGTTTCTACCGGCACATGCAGCAAGGCCTGCTTGCCCTCAGCTGGCGCCACACCTTCTCGCTCATTTCCGAGCCCAATGGCCACCTCAAGATGGAGGAGGGCAGACGGCACCTGCATGAGCGGACACAGGAAGAGGGCCTGGGGTGGCTGGAGGGCGTCTTACAGCGGCTGGAGGCCATCTGTCCAAGCGCCCTGCAGTTCCTCCCCTCGGAGCGATGCACTCTCGCCCACATCGATGCCAAGCTCTCGGAGGTCCTTGACCTTCTCGAGTCGGTAGAGGTGCCGGTGGCTGAGGAGCCGGATGAGGTGTGCGCCGATGTGGGCGAGGGGGAGCTTTGTGGCTGGCCTCTCTTCTCTTGCTGCTGGTCGGTATCTATCTAGCTTCTCTGATCTCTCCCTCTTTCTCTCTCCCTAGTCTCTCTCTCTCTCTCTGTTGGCTGTGGTGGTCGTGGCGGACGGAAAGGATAAGAGAAGGGCAGTACAGCCCACAGGAAGGCAAAAGAAGCGAAGAAAGGCCCACCAGAAGGCCAGCGAGGACAGATACATACCCACACACCGCCCAATACTCTCACTGATGGATGGTGAGTGAAACCAGCACAGCACGGCACACACACGCGGATGCATAACTCTCTCTCTCTCTGTGTGTGTGTGTGTGTGTGTGTGTGTGGGCGAGCCGATAGTCCAATCGGTGCCTACTTTTTATATTTCGAAGGTCTCTTGCTTCTCCTGCCGTGCGTTGATTATGTCTCTGTTCATGTGGATTTGGTTGACCTTCCTTGACGGGAAACTGATACGTTGAATGACCTGTGTACCAGCACCTACGGACCAACATGTGTGCCCAATCATAAAGACGCTCATATGTAGGTATGTACAATGGCATGCATATCACACATGTCTCAGCCGCCTGCATCACACCGCTCACGCCACTCTGCGGCTGCCAACAACCACCTTGTTCTTCATTCCACAGAGGGTTCCACCGCCTGTCTTGACACACCTGGCCGCACTCTCCTTCTGCACCTTCAGCAGCCGATCAACATTGGCAAATATGTCTCGAGGCATCCGAGCGCGCCCATTCGGCCGCTCTCTGTCGTCTTCCTGGTGCGACGAAGACGAGGTGCTGGAGACGGCCTCTTCTGTCGGTGACGCCTCTCTCTGCTTCAGGCGAGCATTGAGGTCAATTTCGGTGCCGCAGGGGCCGGCCTTTTTCAGTCTCCATGCAACGAGCCGGTCCAGCTGCCGATGATATCGACGCAATACACTCTCGCTCCTGCAGTGATTGAAGAGACACACAGGGAGACACGGATCGATCAGCATCCGCCTGGCCGGCCACTCTGTCTGACCTGGATCTCTGCAAAGTTTGTTCCTTGTGGTGCCTGGCGATGGGCGAGTACTCCTCCATTGCGATGCCGTCATCCCCTTCCCACACCTCCGTCCCGGCCAACGACGACGCAAAGGACATCCGCCGCTGAGCACCGCCCTTGCGCATGGTTCTCAGCCATGTCTTGATGCTCCGGAGGATCAGCTGTCCCTCCAGGTCCAGCTCTTCGTTTGTCTTCTTCACGCGTGCGATCTCCTCTTGTCTCTTACGCCATTCCTTGAGGACGATTGAGGGTCCGCCCTGCGAGTAGCCTGGGGAGCATTGGGCGAGGTCCATCTGAGAGAGGATGTTGGTCACCTGCTCCATCACCTCTCTGAAGGCCCGGCCGAGACCCCCGACCTCCACATACTTTGATGGGATCTTCTCGATGAAGGTCTCGAGCATGAGGAGCACCTCGCCAATGCGCTCCGGCTCGGTGATCAGGTGCATGTCTGCCAAGATCTTCTTCCACTGCTCCAGCTCCCGTGCGGCTTTCTGCTGCCGATCCCCGCCGTCATCTGAGTCCTCGTCGCTGCTCTCCTCATCTAACTTGTCTCGCCTGGGGCCCAGTAGCGATTCTGTGTCCTTTGAGGTGGCGAGTGTCTTGGCCTCGCCGTGATACCCTGATAAGCTCAGCTGACGTACCATGCTTTCGGGCATTGCCTCCTCTTCGCTCTCCCTCCTGCCGGCTGTGGATGGGGGGGGCAGCGATGTGTGAGACACCTTAAAGGGCATGTTTCTTCTGTCTTACCTGGGGCTTTTGGTGCTGGTTTGGTGAGCTTGATGGCGGCAGGCTTTGGTGTGGTGGATGCCGGCGATGCAGGTCGATACACAGACACCCTCGTGGTGGCCTTCCGACCCTTCTTGAGCTCATGTGAGACGCCACTTGGCGCAAGCTCGGCTTTCCTGCACACATGGTTGAAGATAGTAGGGAAACATCCATCGATAGCATGTCTTTCTTCCTCCCTCCCTCCGTACTGTGCATTGAGGCTGAGTATGAAAGTGATGCTTTTGAGCTGCGCCTCGGCGACCGACAGGCGATGGGCGTAGACGCTGTAGGCCTCTGACTCCTTGACGCTCATCATGTCCACGCTCGACAGGCCCCTCGTCAGCGCCCTGCGGAAGTCTCTGTCTCTGAACGTAGGCGGCATGGCACTGCTGCTGTCGGCCTTGCTTAGCCCGCGAGGCTCCGTCACGCCTGCCAGGGCTGCCGGCGTGAAAGGCAGGAGCCCTGGCATCAGCTTGAAGGTCGGCAGCTGGATGCTCGGGTCAAAACACTGCAGCAGCTCCTCCAGGTCCTGAGTAACACGAAACAGGGGTAAGATATCAAGGTTGCGTACGCGATAGGTGTGGAGGAAAGGGGAGGGATTGCGTGACCTTGATGCTGACAGGCCTGTTGTGGAGGGCCTCTTCCTCTTCTTCTGCGAGCAGCCTCTCCCGATCGCCCATATGTGCCCATGCATCCCTCTCGGCAGCCTCCCGCTCCTGTTGCAAACGGACCTTCTCCATCTCTTCCATGATCCTCTTCTCGTAGATCTGTAAGCAAGAGACACAGAAAGGAAAAATGAATGAATGAATGAATGAATGGTGGAATGGTTGAAACGGACGAGACGCGGTCTTTACTTTTGACATTCGTTGCTCGTGTGCCAGTCGCTTCGCGGCTTGGTCCTCAATGCGCATGAGCTCTTCTTCCTTCTTCCGCTTCCCCTCCTCCTGCTCACGAAACACGGCCTCCAGTGCGAGACGCTCTCTGATGACAGACAAAGCACAGACACGCGTAACAAGTGCCCATCGTCTGAGTGGAGCTTTTGGCATACGCGGCCAGTTTCTCTTCAAGCTCCTTCTCCTGGGCCTCCCTGCGTTGGCTCTCGAGGTCAGCTTGCGTCATGAGGCGCTGCTCCATGGCCTCGTTCTGGGCGTCCCTTTCCCTCTCCAGCCGCTGCTGCTCCTCCTGCTCAGCTTGCAGCTGGGCCTCACGCTTTATGCGCTCCTTCTGCTCCAGCCATTTCCTGACACACACACACACAATGGAGCCAACCCGACGTGAACAATAGGGTGTCTTCTCGGCTTGCAGAACTTTCTCTCCTTACTTCTCCTTGGCCCGTCGTTTCTGGCGAACCTCGTCCTGGCGGATCTTCTCTTCGGCCTCACGCTCAGCCTCGAGGTGCCTCTCCTCTGCAATCTTGGCTTGCCTCTCGGCCTCGCGACGTTCTTTCCCCTCCCTGGCCCTCGCCAGCTCCTCGGCGATCGCCAACTCCCTCGCCCTCTGTGCTTCTGCTTCTTTGGCAGCCTTGTCCACTAAGTCAGTGGGCACCTCGGTCCCCTTTTGCTCCTCCCCGTCGATGAAGGCGTCATCGAAGCCGATGCGAGACATGTGGCGAGAGGTGGCACCGGAATAGGATGTGGGCGAGTACGGAACGTAGGCCTCAGGGGGAAGCGACGACTCGGCCCCCGAGAAGGAGCGTTGGTACGAAATCCGAGACTCCTTGGTGCCGCGACGGGAGAATCGAGGCAAAGACGACTGGGCGCCTTCACGTGAGCTGGCGGGGGAGCCCTCACGCGACCTGTGGAGCATGACGTCCGTCAAATGCTCAAGGCGATCGTCCCTCGCAGCGAATGAGATTCCCTTTCGCAGCCTCCCCGCGCTCTTCTGCGCGTCCTCTGCAGCAGCAATCTCGGCCAGCCGTTCTTCAGCCTCCTTCGGTCCGAATGCCTCCTCAGCTTCTTCAGGCGGCTTTGGGCCGGGCTTTGCTTTCTCGCCTTTGCCCGGTTTCGCTGCCATAGGTTTTGCCTTGGGGGACGGGGTTTTGGCTTTGGGTGAGGGCAGCTTCGGGATGTCTCGTTTGCCGGTCAGCGACTCACGCTGTGGAGACCCTTTCTTGCTCTGCGCCACGACTGCGGTGGCCGCTGTCTCCTTTGCAGGCCCCTCACCAACCTCTTGCTTTCCTTTGGCGACTGATTTGACGGCCGACGATTCATGCCCCCCCTGCTGCAGCACCTTGCCTTTCTGCTCGGCAGGCGTCCTCTTGGTCAATGGCGGCGCTGCTTTAGGCGATGATTCGTCCCCTTTCTGGAAGCCAATGGCATGCTGCTCCTGCGCCTTTGGCCTTACTGCTGTTGTCTTCTTGCCGGGAGCAGCTGTGATCGGTGCTGGTTTCTCGAGAGAGAGAGGCTCGGGGGCTTCGGGCTGCCCGGCGACACCAGCCTCTGAAGGCGGCACCAAAGGTGGTTGCTCAGTCGGTTTGGCCCCGGAATCCTCTGCTGCAGAGACTGCGGTTGGCTGGAGGGTGTCAACAATCGCCGCATCACCATGGACAGCCAGTTCGACGTGAGATGGCTCAGCACCGACGATGGCCGCTGCTTCCTGTTCAGCTGGCCCAGGCGCCACCTCTTCTCTTGCCTCGTGTCCCACCTCTTCAGGGCCCGCTTCAGCTCCTTCCAGACTCTCGATGGTCTGCGCAGTGCCCAATCGTCGGCAGATGAGCATCTCTTCTACGTCTTCGTCACGCGCAAACCCAGAGGGAAACGACGATTTGTGCCCCGGGCTCTCCTCACCCTCCCGTAGCGTTGAGGATGTCTTCTGTACCACCACTCGGTCTTTGACGAATCCACTGGTGACCGATCTGCGATGCTCGGTACCCGAGGACGCCTTGCTGTCGTGCTGCGAAGACACGGACGCCTCTTGAGAGCCAGAAACAGCGGCCTGATCGGCGCCTGACTTCATCAGCCAGTCGCGGAACGACTCCCCGCGTCTCAGTACATCGGACATACGGGTCGCCGCTGTCTCAAACACCTGCGCCGCAGTCTTGTGAACTGCGGCCTGATATGCCGCATCGACGGGAGGCTCATACGCTGAAGGCGGCTGAGTGGTCGGGTTCTGGGACGGCCGTCTCTGACCGGCGGAAGGGGTGGGACCGACTGACGAAGCCAGCGGCCCCGCTTCAATCGACCATGCGGCCATAGAGGTGTCTTCCGTCATCAGGCTTCTCTCAAGAATGCCCTCCAAATCGACCAGACGCATCGGGGCCAGCAGGGGAGGAGACGGGGGTTTTGGTGGCGAGGGTCCGGCGGAGCGCTTTATCGATCTGACACTTATGATGGATGGTGTCAGAGGCCGTCGGGTGCCGTATGAAGAGGGCCGCTCTGCATCCGATGCTGTCATGGCAGATGTGGGCCGCGGTGCGTCGCGATCCATCACCAAGGCAAGGGGGATGGCCTGAGGGGTCGATATACGCTCGAACGATCGGATAGGCCTGCAACCAGGAACCAATGGAACCTTCCAATGTCTCTCTATCCTTCCGCGTACTTGAGAGACGTGGGGGTGCTCGGTTGTCTCTGAGGCAGCTCAGCTTCACGATAAGACCTCAGCGGCATCGCCGCGCCAGACTGCTGGTACGCCAAGCTCGACACAGACTTATCCGACGACACGTCACCGAACTTAGGCATCGGCCGGAAGGACGATCGCATTCCGGCAGGCGGCGGGCGTGGCTTGCGCGTTTTCTTTGGTCTGGGAACGGCCGGGGGTGTGCGTGCTCTCCTGGCCTCACGGCTGCGCTCCATCTTGACGAGAGTCATAATCTGCGCAGCAACTTTGGTGTCTTGCTTCGTCTCCACCGCCTCACTTTCAGTCATGGACAGGGGGAAGCTCATCATGCGCCTTTTCTTAATCTGCGGCTGGTCCATTGCCTCCACTGCCTTACGCAAAGCGGTCACATTAGCGCCGATCGGCCTCTCGCCCTCATCGGACTCTGCAGCCCTGCTGGGCTCTTCCTCTGCTACTCGAGGCTGTTCAGCCTTTCTTGCTGGCGACTTGCGAGCAGCAGTATAGGCAGCAGGGTGGCACAGGATTTGCCTTAGAGGCGCATCGAGCCACTCCTTGTGCAGATGTGGGTGTGGAGGGGGCCGCGCCGACGGGAGACCGTGCAGCGTCTTCTCCACATCATACTCTTCCACTAGCGCATCTCGATCAAGAGGGTGCTCCAAGCCGACGGTGTCCATCGTTACGTGTTCGGGGCCTCGCTCAACGGCGGCAGGCGGGGCGTCGGGCACAGCTGGTGGGAGACATGGGAGCGAGATGGATATATGGAGTGCCGCAGACTTGGCATCCTCTTTTTCGCCTTCATCGTCCTTCAGTGGCTTGATGGGTGCTGCGGGCGGCATTTTGGGAGGCGCCCTCTCGTGGACTTTGTCATGCAGAGAGGCTGGCAGGGTTGAAAAAGAGGGGTCCTCGGCCACAGAGAGGTCCACGCGTTGGGGTGAATTGAAGACGACATTGACGGCTGCGGCAGCGCGTTGGATGAAGGGGTGCCTCACGGTCGAGAGGGAGCTTGGATGAGGGAGGCTCGGCTTGGCTTCCGCAATGCGTCTCCTCTGCTGATAGGTGAGGAAGGGGAAAAGCTTGTCAACTGCGTGCACGCCGACATGCCGGCTCTCTTGCGTGACGGAGCATGTCGGCTCCTCCCAGTCGGCGTCTCTCTGTGGCTGTGGCGAGGTAGACAGTAGCAGTCGCAGCCTCCGTTGCTTCATCTCTGCCTGGAAATGTTCCTCTCTCGCCTCGTCCTCCACCTCCATTTGCATCCGCTCCCACTGTCCCGTTACGGTGCCGTCGATCGTCTCCATCATCTGCCGAACGTCATGCAGTTTCTGCTGAGGGTCGAGCCGGTCAAACGTCCTCAGCTCAGAGCTCTTGCGCTTGCGGCGCGCGGACACGCGGGAGCCGATGGGTGTTTGGCGGGCAGCTGTCGCAGTTGTGGCTGCTGGTGCTGCTGGCACTGAAACCCTGCTGAAGCCAGCTGCCAGTGTTGACTGCCTTCGGCCCGTTTTGTGCTCAGCAATGACAGACAGGTCCGCAAAAGACTCCATCGGCGTCATCGTGGGCGTCTTGTCTGCCTTGTACTGTTTCTTGGACATGGCTTTGAAATTCTGTTTGGCGTAGCCCATGAGCTGGGGGTACACGGCTGTGGGCTCCTCCCTGTCGGCAACGTCTGGATGCTTGCGCTTCCTGGCCTGCAGCCGATTGACGTGACGGGTGAGTGACGGGCGGGTGGGGATGTCCTGTAGATAGGTCCGGTCCTGGTCATATCTTAGCGGATCGTGCTTTCGCATCTCAGCCATCCTGCGAAAAAAGTGCCTTCTCGCTATATGAGGGCAAGCTTTTTGTGCACATCGGCCGACCTGCAATGTGCTGCTTCAAGGTCACCCATCTCAATGGCCGCGGCGCTCTGCCCCAAGACGGGAGTTGTCGAGGGAGCGAATAGCCGGATTGTGCGCTGGTTGCTGCCAACAACCAGCGCCATCGGGGCCTGAGGCCGACCCACAACCACCACTCCTGCAGTCATCAACATCAGAAACGCCACTTGTGTCTGATGCGTACACCTAGTGACCTGTGATCTCGTCGATGGATGTCATAACTCGCAAGGGCAAGCCGTGTGGCGACCACAGAACGATTGTACTGGGCGAGGCCGAGAACAGCAAGTTCCGGTGCGGGCTGAGGAACGACAGGCCCACCACCTCCAGTGCATGATACTTCTCATACCACTTGCAGCCCGCCCTCCTGTCCAGCCGCTGCATGGCGATGTCGCCTGTGCTCAGCCCCAACGCCATGGTCATCCCACTTGCGTCCATGATCCACGCCGTAAATCGAGGCGGCCCCGTCGCTGGTTTCGCCAGGACGGTGGCGAATCTCGACGACGGGCCTTTGGAAGGCGGGATGAGCGTCACACGCTGCATCAACGTGAGAGACGGCGACCGCAGAGGCTCCCAAGGGGGCGGGCGCTCAATCTGCCACATGCAGATGTCGGTGTTGTCGTGAAGGGTGACGATTCTCCCATCATGTGTAGGGACGGGAGGATGCATGTGGGCCCTCTTGAAGTCACTTGCGATGGGGACGCCTGACACCGTGGTGTCTAGAAGAGATGGCGGGGCAGATGAGGACCAGTCCACCCTCCCAACTCGCCGAATAGCGCGGCACGGCCCACCCGTCTCCTCCGCGCCGACTGTCAAGATAAGGAATGCGCACCGCTGGTCAGGCGGAGGCGTGGGAATCGGCTGACTGAATGATGACAGAGTGGCTGGAGGGCTGCTAGCGTCATGGGAGGCCGAGTCCCGCGAGCACAGCAGATAACCGGTGAAGCCTCCGGTAATGTGCGAGGCGAGGATGAAGGTCAGGTGCCATTCGGTCACGTGGCCAGGCAGCACCGAGGAACCGAAAACGAAAGAGCCCTTGCCGCGTTGTCTCGGATCGGGCATTGCCAACATGGGGGCGTCTGGCGCTTCATCGGTGTCATCCCTTGTGCCGTCGATAAAGCTCCACGGGCGGCAGAAGCTCTCTGTAGGCGGGTAGAGTGGGATGGCACAAATAGCGTTCACAAAATCTGCAGACAAGCACACATAGGGAGGAATGACGGACACCATGTAGGCAGCGGCGGTTTCTGTATTGATTCAGTCATACCCTGTTGGCCTGTCAGTCGGTATGTGTGCTGTAGTGTCAGTCGCCTTCTCACGTCCTGTGTCTCCGTGACACCGTACACATCGACGTAACCCTGGTGGGCATGGGTCACGCAATTCATCTCAATGTCGGCGATTAGTGTCGATTCATCCTCAGGGAAAACCTCGCTGCTCGCTGATGACGACGCAGACGACGCGCTTCGTGCTGTTGCTGCAAAGTACTGATCAGTGGCATTGCTTTCCGCCGAGGGGACTCGCTTGCGAGGCACCTTGGGCGATCTCGGCGACTCGTATTGCTGGGAGGATGCCTGTGTCTGAGCGAACAGACGTGGCAAGCCAAGAATGACGACAGAAAGACAGATGAAGAAAATTGACATGTCGCTGCGTACAGTGAGCTCGTCGATCATCACGAATGGCCCCTTTGACTCCCTCTGGCTGACGGTGGGCCCCGCTTTTGATTTGCCTTTCTTCTTGTCCTCTTTGTCAAAGCTCGCTGGCAACGCAGGTTGCTGGAAGCGCCGCAATGCGCCAGCAAATCGCCGCTTGTGGCCGAGGTGCCGGTAGTCCGACGGGATGGGCAGCTGCAGCAGCGATATGAGACCCTGGCGGACACCCGCCCCGCTAAGCGTCATCAATGTGACTGGATCGATCTGCGACGCGCGGCGGGGATGCAGAGCACTTCGGTCCAAACATGATTGCCTACAGTAGCATGCACGAGACACGCGGCCTAATTAGACCTTGAGTTGAGGGGCATGTCTGTCTACTTGTATGCAGGTGTGTCACCAAAGGGGCGAGAGAGCCGTGTGGTCGGGCAGGATGAGGGAGACATCCCGGAACACACCATGTGCCAGCTTCACAACTGTCTCGGCCATCGTATGGATCTACAGACACACAGAAAGAGATAGATTGACCCAATGTGCACACAGGGGTACAGCAATCCAGTGGGTACTTGGACACATTGCAGGGCCTTGTCGTGTGCCACGATGAGGTACTGAAGCCCTGTTTGCGGCGAGCTGTCGGCCACCATCCGAGAGATGAACTTGTGCGACCTGCTGACGAGATCGGCTGGCGGACGGGGCGTCTCTGACTCGGAGTCGGAGTACTCCTGACCACCCCAAGCAGACAGCAAGGTCTCGTTACACCAGAGAGAGTGGAGGGAATGGTGTTTCTCACCGGCAGCCGGAATCCATCCACCAGACGACTCTGCACCAGGTTGCAACACAGCAGTGTGCCGTCGGCTGCAGCCACGCACAAAAGAACAGACATGTTGTCTTCTGTTGAAAAGAAGAGTCATCGATACCGGTCAAGCAGAAGCCATACACGCCATAGAGAGGGTCCTCCACCCGCACGGACGTGATAGTGACATCTTCCTGCGTCTCCCGCCTCTCGTTGAAGAGCTCTCGCTGCCTCTCGTCCTCCGTCATCAGGTTGACGGCAGTGCTGCTCTCCTTGCGAGTAAGGGCGAGGCCCATCGAGCTCGCCTTACTGCCCGAGCGGCTCAACAGAGGGATACTCGATTCATCCTGTGGTGATGCAGGTTGTTGCTGTGTTTCTTCCTCCATCTTGGATGCAGTGGTTGTTTCTCTGAATGTCTCCTCTCTCATGTTGCATCGGACGATGCCCGCCACCTCCTGCATGAAGGACACCTTGGCAATGTTGAGGGCGGGAAACTGGGCGTGCGTTCGCACTGCAGCAATTGCAGACCGCCTGATATTGCCGTCATCCATTTCTGTTTCGGCTGACCGTCTCTATGGCTCCAGATACGCCATGCTTCGAGCGAGTCGCCGTGAGATGCCACAATGTGGAACGCTCTGTCGCAGTAGAGGCTGTGAATAGGGCCAGATGCCTGGAAGCGACTCAACACAGCGCCACTCGGCACGTCCCATATGAAGCCAGCGCCCAAGTCGTCCACACCTGTGATGTTACAACACGAGGGCAAATGGAACATGTATTTGGCTGTTTTGTCCGATAAAACTGACCAATGATGACTTCGTGCAGGTCCGAGACGGCAATGTGCTTGACCGGCGGACCGGCGGGATTGAGCTTGATCACATTCAGCAGCCGCGAAGATACGTCTCCATAGGCGACATTCGCTGTCTCCTCCCTCTCACTCTCGTTCTCGTCCACGGCGGCGTGTCTCAGGCAGTCCACACTGACAGCAGTGTGTTTGCGCTCTAGCCGCCATATGCGGATGTGATGCTCGCGTGAGAGGCAGCACACTTCGTGGCGCTTCTGGAACACGCACACCTCCCGCACGCTCGGCTGCCACTGAGGATGCATGTGTGAAGACACATGCCAGAGATGGCAGTCGCGTCTCCTCGTTTTTTGTCTCTTACCAATGGGAATTCGACGACGGTGCGCGGCATTGGTGGCGAGCCGATGGGAGGAAGGCCGACGTTGTTAGGAGATGCGGTGAGCGTTTCATTTGGGTTGATATCCCAGAGTACGGCGAGCGTGATCGGGTGCAGTATCTTGATGATGTTCTCCATGTTGATCACCAGCCTGGCCAACGATTGCTCGATGAATGAATACACGACAATGTGACAGGTGTTCTTCTTGCCCATTGCTGACCATCCGTCATTGAGGTTGAGGTAGCTGATGGACCAGAATGCCTTGTCCTTTGCCAGGATGGCCTTCGCGCCACGACCACTGAACGAAGAAGAAACGGCCGCCCGATGATGTGTACAGACTGCGCGTTTCCTTAGATTTCTTACGACATGACGGTCCATCTTCTGAGTCCTTTTTCGTTGTCAGCATAGTTCCGCTTCACCTGGCGGGTCTTGACACACCTGCAGAAAGGAAGCGTGGTATGAATCTATTACATGTCATTGACACAAATCCGTCAATGAGGTTCATGGCTGACCAGAGGATGAGTTCATACATGTCGGAGGAAAGCAGCAGCCGATGGCGCTGATGATGGGGAGAACAGCAGACATACTTACTACTGGATCTGCTGTCTGTATATGCTTCTCTTACCGGATTGAATGCCATGGCGACAATTTTGTGTTTGTGTGCGCCCAGGGTGCCATCGAACTGGAACCTCGGATGAGGAGTGACGTCCTTCACACCAGACATCACGAACAGCGGTGCCTGAGTTTGCGAGCTATGGGGGCTGGTGGGGGCGAGACTGGGGCACCGCTGCGGGGAGGGGCATGCAGGCATGACGCAGACGACCTTGACATGGGACTTCCTTCGCTGCTATACGGGCGAGTTTGACCCCGAGATCATCTTCCACCTTTTCCTGCAACACCGAAACATCGAGAAGATCCAGGCCCTCGAACCGCTCACGCACCTGCGTCGGCTGGACCTCTCGCACAACCGCATCACCCGGCTGGAGGGGCTGGGGAGACTCAAAGAGCTGCAGATACTCGATGTGTCGCACAATCAGCTGACCAAGGTGGAGGGGCTGCAGGGGCTGGCAATGCTGGAGACTTTCAAGGCATGCGGCAATCAATTCACACGGTTCCAGGTGAGTGATTGAGGGCAGTGCCATCGCTTTTGCCGTCTCATCTATCTGTCTTGGCGTTTGTCTTGCTACAGGATTTGACCGGCCTGTCGGCCCCACCGAAGCTTCGCGCAGTGTATCTGGCCAATCCGGACGCCTCTGACGCATGCCCCATCACACTGGCCTCAGACTATCGCACTAGAATGCCATCCATAGCGCCCAAATTGCAGGTATATCTGTCTGATGGACGGACGATGGTCAGGATGGATGGACGGAGAGTGAATTGATGTGATTTGTTTGTGTCTGTCTGTGGTGCAGGTGCTCGACGGCCACCGGCTGCATCTGCCTCTGCTGGCAGTCTCACCACTGGTGTACGAGTCGCTATCTGAGGACGCGCTCTCACTCGTGTCGGCCCTCCTCCCCGTCCCCTTGCTCAACGCCGAGACGGATCTCTGTCTCCCTGAGTGCTACGAAGATCACGTGGCTGAGAGCGTGCTCGACAAGACCATGCAGCCGATAGAGACCGCCATGAGTGAGGCGAAGAAAGTGCTCAAGAGCCTGGAGACCCTCACAGAGCAGATGGCGTCCACCTCTGTCGACAGTGAAGCGGCGTGTGCCTCACCACGAAGTACGAACGGGCAAGAGGAGGGGGCGGCTGGGAGCAAGAAAGTGGTCATCCGGCGGGGGGGGTCTATAGGCTCGACAGCTACACAGACGAGTGTGGGCAGCAGTAATGCAAGCAACGGGGAGAGAGGGAATAAGGGCAGTGCTAGGGGCGCACGGACTGCCAGACAGAGAAACGATTGATGCATGGAGTATGTGTTTTCGTGTGAACTTCTGTGTCATCCTTGTGTAAAGGCGACAAACACATCTTGATCCACAGTAACGGAAGGAGAAAGCAGCCGAACATAAGACGACAAACCCCCTCACCCATTTCTTCGTGTCGCATAGACAATGACAGGTCTGCGTTCCCCTAGCAGAGCAACAGGTGTCATCCAGCCCTTCACCGCCTCCCTTCCCAAAGTCTCCACTCCCTCAATGACCGACGGTGTCCCTTTACCCATCGAGCCGTCCCCCTCTCCCACCCGCCTCTTCTGCTGTCTAACCATTTGTCGTGATGGAGGCTTGTAGCTCATCCGAAGCGCGTAGTCTAATTTATCGTTCGCCATGACATCGTGTGCCGGGGTGGTCATGGGCCGCCTTGACGGCACCGACAGAGCGGGGGTGGATGGCGAGTGCGGCATCGGCGTGGCTCCTCTGGGGATAGGAGACACCTGCCGCAGGTACGATGCAGACCGAAAGGGCGCGGGAGGAGACACGCTGTCGATCGTCAGCAGCTCGGAGGGACACGAAGACAGGCTCGGCCCAGGAGTATCCGTACCAGCGATAGGCGGGCCAGAGACGCCGGCAGTGGTTGAGGGTCGAGAAGGAGGAGGTGCCGCTTCCAGGACGATCTCTGGCGGCGTCCAGCCCGTCGCCAATTGATGCAGTTGCTGCAGCCTGGCAGCGGAGGCCTTGCTGTAAAAGCCCCGCTGCTTGTACTTGAGAAAAGGACTGTCAAACAGGCTAGGGGCGGTCGCTTGTTGCTGGACCAACGAAAGGACAGGCTCAAACACAGGCGGGACGTAGCGCCTCGTCAAGTCATTGGTCCGCTCACCTGCATTTTCTGTAGCTGTCTCAGTCTCGCTGCTGCCACTTTGTTGTGCAGCTGGCGTCTTAGATAAGCCCGCAACAATGTCTCAGCCTTCCGTTTCAAACCATTCTGCACCTCTGATCAACACAGATAGACAGAGACATGTGACGGTCGACTCATATGTGTGTCTACACACCTTTTGGCAAACGACTGAGGATATCGTGGGACGTGATTGCCAGCAAATCGACTGTCGATGACGCCGCTACCACAGTGAAAGGCTCCACCACTCCCAACAACGTCGATGAGAAGCCGCACATGTGGCCACACGCCAGTGTGCCGCATGACAACTCGCGGGGCGACTCCAGATCTCTGAAAGCGGAAAATGATGGCAATTGCATGCAACAATTTGCTGTTTCGTTATGCTGATGTCACTCACTCACCTTTTTTTTATAACGGGCTGCATGGGCCTGCCCCAGCTTCTTAGCACGCACTCTCCTTTGTATACGAAGTAGATGCGCCTCTGACCCTCGTTGGCACTCTGGAGGCTGCCCGCCTGCAGCAGCACATGGCCACGTGGGACGGAGATCGGTTTGAAGAAAGACGCTGCCAGCTTCTCCATAGTCTTCTCATCCAGGACTTGTTCATCGGGCAGCCACCGGTAGAGAAATGTCATCTGACAGAAGAAGGAAGGGACATGCCGGCCGTCACTTTTGGGTTGAACTCTTTACTACCTTTTGCTCAATTTGCTTGTAGGCTGCCCGTCTGAATGCCTCCAGAAAGTCCTCCTTCTGGATCCAGCACACCACCGTCTGCCGCTTATCGAACCTCTGCTCAGCCTTCGATGGGACACCGAGCCGCTCGCCCCCGAACCGTCGCCGAACCTCCTCGCCCGCCCCCTCTCCAAGGACCGTCTTGACCGAGACCAGCCTCTCCGTGTCCTTAACCAAGCCGAGTTCGCCCAGTGTGTCACCAGGCGTCAGCGTGGCGATAAGCTCCCCCAGATTCTCCTCTTCCTCGGGCGGCAGCTCGTCGTCGCTCTCCTCATCTTCGACCTCATCCATGTGGAATTTCACTGCCGTACCGGTCGTCAGAAATATGGGGGAGGTCTTGCTCTTCTTGGCGGCGGCTTTCTGGCTCTGGGGGGAGTCGGCGTCCAGGATGCTCATCATGTGAGACACTCTGCCGCCCTTGTGGGGGCTCGACGTCTCCTCGGGCAACGCCAATACCTCCTGTGGAGCCGTCAGGGCATGTACAAGGGCTGGCTGGGAAGGTGACGAAGGCGGGAGGGCATAGATCTCTGCTGCCGCTACTGCCTCGTTGAGGGAGTCTCTGCGTTCTTGGGGAGAGAGCGGCGGGGGGTTGTGCTGATAGATGGCGAGGGCGCCGTGCAGGAGGAGAAAAAACGCATTCGACGTGTCGCCCTCTCTGGAAATGGCGCAGAACCAATGAACCGAGCAAGTGTGTTTGAACCTGCATCTCTGCATGCCTGAAAAGGACGGTATTGGCGTTGAGTGTGGTCACCCCCATCAGCCTCGTGAGCTCCTCGCGCACTTCGTGGGAAAGTTCGACGAAGAACTTGTTGGCCCGTAACAGCTGATCGAACACACACATGGACACCAACAGACATGCACGACACTGGCCACACTTGCGCATGTGCGGCAGCCTGCCTTGTGCAGGAGTGCGCATTCGTCTTCGGTACGGTTCTTTCCCTCTTCTTTCAATATGTCGCGTATCTCCACCACACGCGGCACCGTCAAGACGGGCAGGCGGTAGCGGGGATGGGTTGATTGCATTCTGCTGGGGTCTGTTCTGAGGGGAAAGAGGGCTCCCAGCGGCCCCAAGGCGACCGCGCTCCGATTTAGAGGGAGTCGCTGCATGATTAGGCCCATGCATGAGCTGTGGCAGGCCACGTTTTGTGACAGGTAAGCTGCAGGTGAAGACACTTATACCAGCCATCAACCAATCAACACTGTCTGCACATCTACCAACTGCTTACTCCAGTGGCTCTCTCATGCCACGTGCCACACATCGACACCGCATGGGTGCTCCCCCGGCCGCTCAAGACCGAGAAAGCAGCCATAGGGCCCCGACTATGTACACGTGGAAGAAAAGCCAATACGGCACAGCACATGCGTAACAAGTACTGACTGACTTTGCCTTGTAGTGCTCTTGTCAGGTGCTTACACGTGAAGGCACTTACTGCAGTCGCTGAATGCCATGTGCCACACATCAAGCCCGCACGGGTGCCCCCTTAGCCAGCCAAGACCGAGAAAGCACGGGTACGCAGGCGCTGTGCGACACGAAAAACAGCCAGCACGGCACACATGCGTCAGCGAATACAGACAATAAATGCTCGCCATATGCTGAAACGTTGTTCCAGCGTTCCGGGCTGGAGGCGGAAATCGTCTGCTGACCGGCTGTGATCAGCTGGCGATGTCGGCAACCGTCACGCAACGCACAGACCAACAGCAGAGCGCATACACATTGCATGCACCAGTGAGACCGTCACAAATACGGTATGTATGCACAGAAAAATCTGCAGTGTGACACCATCCCCCAGGTCTCTCTCTCAAGCATCATTTTGGGGCCAATACCAACCCCTCACATTCAGTTATCTCCACTCGCCACTCATCACCGGCTGACTGGCGGCGCGTCCTCTTCCCACGGCTCGGGTTTCTTCCCGAACAGCCTCCATCTTGGTGCTGGTTTGCCGTAGGGCTCTGGCTGGGGCGGTCCGGCCATCCAGGGAATGATGAAGATGAGCGCCAGGCTGCCCACCATGAAAACAGTCGGGTAGACCAGGGGACCTATCTGAACCTTGTACTGCGTCATGACCTGAGGCGGGCTGCGGACTGACGAAAAGAGGCCCGGCGGCACACGTTGTCGGCAACAGACGGGAGGAAGGCGTCCTTGTGTGAGAAGTATCTTGCGTCAGATCTTCGGGTTCACTGGCAGTCGGCGGTTGCTGAGTACACGGGGCGTGTAGAGAGCGGCATTCTCATGCGGATTCAATCCTCCCTCTCTCTCGAATCTTGCGATTACGTTGAAGAATCTGAGAGAGCAGTTTCACGGATTTGCGAGCTCCGAAGAAGAAATTGGAGTTCAAGTTGTATGTGGAGTGGGCGGCTATGCTTCAGCGTTGACGTGCATAGCTTTTCGAATCAGCTGACTCTCTTCCTTGTGAGCTGACCCTTCCTGATACTCCCTGATACTCACCCGGAGCTCTTGAGCCACTGCCTCCCAGGGTGCCATGGCATCCCTGTCGTTCGCATCCGGCGCACAGCACTCGGTTCGTGCGCTGCAGAGCTTGCCCAAGCTGATCAACTACCAGCTGCAGGCTCACGGGCAGGCACTGCACCGCGGCGTGGGCGTCGCCCGCCGCGCACTCGGTGCCTTCTTCTTCGGAACGGAGGAGGAGGCGCAGAGGAACCGGGACCCGCTGATGGAGACCGTGACGCAGTATCCCGACGAATCACTCTGGTTCATCAAGTGAGTGGGAGGGGAAAGTATGGTGGATGGTGTGGATGGTCACCGTGTGTGTGTGATAGGGTGGTGATGCTATTTGGCGCGATTAGCGGGTTTGTGATATCGATTCCGTGCCTCTTTTACCTGTGGTTCTTCTGGCTGGAGGGGGCATCGTGCAACAGACCGCTGCGGTGTGTAAAGTGATGGAGGGAAGAAGAAAGGCCAGCACACGACAGCATCGACATGTGCGTCATTGTGTGTGTGTGTGTGTGCATGTGTGTCAGGTACTGGGTGTTGTTCAACTGTTCCCTCCAGCTGATCCAGGTGCCAATCCGGCTGGTGTTCTTCTCCCGGCTGCTGCACGTCGGGCGGCAAGGCGGACCCAACCACAGAAACCACATACACCAGTGGTCAGTCATCTCACGCACAGAGCAGCATGCAACCGCCCATTCTGCATTCTCCCTGTCCACGTGTGTGTGTTCTTTCAGTTTGCGGCTGCTGACGAGTGGTCGTGCGTGGAAGTGCAGCAAGTTCCTGAGCATTTTAAACTACGGCTGGTTCATCCTGGGCGTCGTGTGGGTCCTCAACTCGTCACACTGCGCCGAGGCGCCAGGCCTCTGGAAACTCACCGTCGGAGTGGTCAGTAGTCGACTCAGACAGACCCATTGATGGATGCCCTTTGCCACGGTGTGTCACGTTTGTGTGCCTTCTTGACTTCAGATAGCGATGTCAATGGCACGTCTGCTGATCACTCTGGTGTGTTTCTACTACTCGTTCCCACCCCGCAACCTGCCCACGGCCTCCCGCAGGCGGCGGGGCGCCACACAGGCCGCCATCGACGCACTCCCAGTCTCCAAGTACCATGCCTCCGCTGACGTGCCACTGCTCAGGGACCCCACGTGAGCTTCTTCCCTGGCTGAGAAGGAGAGAGAGGAACAGATGGGAGAGGATGTGTGGATCCTTCCTTTGTGTGTGTCAGTTGCTCCATCTGTTTGGCGGAGTGGGTGGATGGTGACGAGCTGCGGTGGCTGCCCTGCAACCACTCCTTCCACAAGAAATGTGTCGACAAGTGGCTGTAAGCTGACATCCATCCATCCATCCACAACACGGCACAACAAGGGCGAGACAGCGATTTCGTGTGTGTGTGTGTGTGTGCGCGCAGGAAGCGTAGTTCCGCGTGTCCTCTGTGCCTGCGGTGTGTGGAGGGGCGGGATGGACACGGACAGACCATCGGTAAGGGAGAGGAATGGTCACATCGACCCACACACCCACTTTTCCTGTCTCCTCGTGCCGTTTCTCTGTGTCCGCAGCTCCCATTGGATGAGCTACTGGCCGCTACTCTTGCGCCCACGGTTTCCCACGATTGATGGAGCCACCCCACCCGCCGATCCCACACACCTACTTCCCTGCCCTGCCTGCCTTCTTTCTTGACTACCTACGTACCGATTGACTGCTGCCTACCAGCCAGCCTTGTTTCCGTCGTGCTGCTGGCTGCCTGGCGCTTTGCTTTGCTGCCTCTTGCTTGTTCGGTTGCTGTCCGACTGGTGCGTCTGGTGTACAATGTACTCACCCACCCACCCACTCACTCACCCCTCCCTCCCTCCCTTCCTGGCTGGAATGCGGACAGTCTCATTAATGACACCCGCCCTCGGACACACACACACCCATGCGCACATCCAATCCGTGTATGTATGCAGGCACATGGGCAGGGGGACGCTCAGGTTTCGCTGAGCAGTGTACTTACTGTACGGCCGTGTGAATGTGCGTCTGTGTGGGTGAGTGGGTGTGTGTGTATTGGTGGCTTTCGAGTGGGTGCACCGTCATTTACCGAGGGGGACAGTGCTGATTGTCTGTCGACTCTCTTGGGGTCTTTGGAGTGTGACGCTGGCACGTGCCTCGCCAGATCAGGCGGGAGAGCCACATGACACTGAGCCCGGTGTCATGTGGCTCTTTAGCCTTTTTCGGCCAGGTACGTGTCCTTCGCCACGCAATCACAGGCCATCGTCGGGAGGTGAAGGAAAGGATCTCTGGGCACCTTGGCCGCTCACTGGCTGACAGGCGAGTGCGTGCCGTATGGGGTGCCATGCGTTGTTAGACGCAGCGTGCAGTGTGTGGCCTGCATGGGTGGATGGATGGCGCAGAACATCGCTTCAAGGGTCATTTGTATTTGTAGTGTCCGGCAACACACCACACCGCGGCAGGTCACACCACACGCCAACACGCTCGCCAAGGAGACCCCCCATCTGCCCATGCATCCATCCATCCATCAGCTCATGATTGTCTCGTTCCACACACATGAACATGAATGTGACGCCACCGCGCCACGACGCCAACGCATCAACGAACCAACACTACTGACACGCGACAAGGCGACCGACTTCCCTCCCCCCTCCCACCTCATACGCACCGACGACACCAACACAGACGCGCCCTCACAGGAAGACAAGACATGCAGCCGAGCCACCGCCGCTTAGAACCGCCTATCAACACTTACCATTGCAACCGTGGATGACTCCAAAATTGACAGTCCTCCCCTCTCCCCGCCTCCACGTTATGGACACACACACTTTGTCACGTGCACACACAGAGATACCGACAGACACACGAGGGCATGACGCCCCATCACTCCCGACCACAGAGCAGCCAACTAGGAAAAACTGGCCAGCCAGGAGGGAGAGAGAGTGTGTCCATACAGGCGTGCAGGTGGTATCCGATGCGGCTGCACTCTGCAGTTGGCGAGTGCGTGGGCAAAAACAGGTGGCGGATGAATGTGGGAGGTCGTCTGTGTGGACAGCCACAACACACGGCATACACACACACACACACACACAGAGAGAGAGAGAGAGAGACAGAATCGCCCGCAGCTCCCTCCCTCCCCTGTAGCCACATTCATCAATCCATCCATCCACAAAGTAGCCAGCAATATACTACACGAGAAATAGGGGATAGCAGCCCACCCTGCCACCCGACACACACTCAGGCGGCAGGCAGACAGGCAGTAAGTCGTCGTCACTCGGGCGCATGCACCACACCACATGCACCGCCACTTACAGACAGAAAACACGTCAATGCATGTAGCCACGTATGAGCGTTAGCAGGGCCCCGTCCGTTCTGTCTGCACCTTGAGCAGACATCACAGCACACGACAAACAGAGGGCCCGCGCCCACACGTACACATGACCCCACGCACCCACGCACCCAGGCACCCTCACACGCAATCAAGCAGGCAATAAGCAAGCAACAAACCTCCGGACACAAGCCTTGAAACGCACAGCTGGCCACAGCTCTGCCTACCTATGTGCGGCGTGCCTGCCGCGCCGCCATGGATGCGGGCCAAGTGCCCATACAGCTCGGCACACATCTCATCAACGGGGAAGCTCTCACCTCGCCGTGTCGAGGTCGGTGAAGAAGAGCCACCCCAGTCCCAGCCCCCGCCCGCACCTCCCTCTCCCTCCGGCAGAGTAGCCGTCCAGCCACCCCCACCAGCCACACGCCGGTCGAGCAATCGCGGCCCCGTCACGGCGATGGGAACGGGAGCCGACGATGCCATCGCCGCCTCGGCTGAGGCCGCTTTCCGCAATTGTGGCATGGTCGGCGGCTCGCAGCAGTGGAGGACATTTGCGATGCGGTGGCACATGTCCCCCAGCAGCTGCCTGGCCTCGGCGTCCTCCAGAGCTTCGTCGAAGTGCCACCGGCGATCCGTCGACGTGCCCGCCTTGATGAAGTCTAGCGCCTGTCTGCAGACGCTCTTGAGCTGTGCTGTGTAGACCTTGCTGTTGGTCCTGGCATCAGCGTCAGGGCTGCTCCTGGTGGGAGGGGGCCGGGCCGGGGGAGGGGGGATTGGTACGCTTTGCGATTGAAGGCAGCTTGACATGCCCTCGACATGGTTAGGTTGATTGCCTGATGGGGAGAGGAGGGGCTCGTGACGCCGCACAGTTGGCGGTCTGACCTGAATGGGACAGACAGACAGACAAACACCCCATTTGTATGTATTGGTTTCCTCCATCATTCTTGGTCGGTCCGCGTGTACTTTCTCTGTCTGTCTGTCTGTCTGTCTGTCCGTCTGTCTGTCTGTCTGTCTGTCTGTCCGTCCGTCCGTCCGTCTGTCACACACTTGGAATGAGTGTTGGGTCTCGCCGTTCGGGTCGCCTTCGACGAGCTCCAGCCCATTGATGGGCGGTAGAGTGATGCCTTGCCTTCGCAGGAACTTGCGGTACATGAAGAAGCGGCACCCTGACAGACATGGGCATGGGCACCCATCGGCACAGAAACGGATGTGGTGTGTGCGTCTGTCGGCCCACCTTGCAGGGATCGCCGCTCTGACGGGTGGTGGATGTCGGGGCAGAAGGGGCGCTGACAGGTGCCGTGGGCGTGACTCAGACACGGTCTCGTCTTGTAGTACAGGGGATGGTAATCATGCTCAGCTGACCACACACACACACACACACCATCACTGCAGCTGTCCAGTCCCACCACACACACACGCTTTCTCACCTTGTGAATGGGCATACGGGCACTTGTCTCCTCTCTCGCAGCGTGACGCCGGAAGGTCCGGGCAGGGCAGATGGACGTACCGCAGCGTGCCGGGGCAGGATCTGCCGAAGCCGGGGCCTCTCCGCAACCTCTCTTCTTCTCCGTGTGAGTAGGTGCATGACTCCCCGTAAGCACAGTGCCGCTGCAGATGCGTCCGCCTCCTGGGGCATGGTGTCGTGAAGATGCTGAAACACAACAAACGATAGAATGACAGACGATGCGGTGCTCATCCCACATAAGAAGATCTGTGACTCGTGCGCACCTGAAGAGTTCTGCCTCTGAGAGGACGCGGTTCATTCACTACGTCATCAAATGCGCTGTGGCCCCGCACTGAGACTTCGCTCCCAGCCCTCCCGGCCACTAAATGCCCGGGGTTTCACGCAATGCCTTATTCCACCTGCGAGCTGGAGATGTGATTGGCTTTTGGAGATTGCTGGAGAGGACAGGCGCCGTTTCCTCGATGGGTGTTGGTCCGAGCGTGCCGAGACCTCCGGATCTGTATGAGAATGAGAGGGAGTTTGACCCCGACGAGACATACCTCCGTGTGCGTGCAGCCCTCGCCCGCCTCAATCGGTCGTGGGAGCTGCAGCCAAGAGGCCGCGTGTGCAGCATCCAGCGACTGAGCGACGAGGAGATAGAGGAGCTCGCCGGCTGGCTCGATAAAGACTCCAACCGTGTCGACCCCGACCACAAGGAGGAGTTCAAGGACAAGGCGCAGGAGTACGCCGACCGGGCAGATGCCCTCCACCGGCAGTGGATGGTGTGGGTCTGGGGCGAGAAGACCGTCCAGTAAGCATGACACACACAGACACACACGACAGCCAGAAAGTAGCACGCCCTTCACACCACGTGTGTGTCCCCCCTGCTGGTTGTGTCATGAATGCAGGAAGCTCGAGCGTGACGTCCCAGAAGACGTCTTCGACCTGGCGCCTTCGGCGACACTTCAAACATGGACCCCGACGCCCCCCCTCCTCAGCCCACGGGGCAGCCGTCGGCACCTGCACACACGGCCTCTCAGGCGGGGAACGGCACGGTCACTGTCGGGGTGCCTCCACCTTCGAGGGCGCCGCTGCTGCAGTACGCACCGCAGTCCTACCAGAACTACTGCTCACTCTCGTGAGGTCGCGGGCCAGTTTGCTATGTGTGTGGTTCATAGGGGGGTTGATGCATTTTTCGTATCCCTGGTGGTAGATAGATTCATGAGTTATTGGATGGGGAGCGCAGCAGAGTGGTCAGCTATGACTTGCCATGGAGACACATACGAGATTCGATGTATTTGAACCATCAATCACTCAGCGGTTGAGAAGCTGCGCAGCAAGGCTGCGTGTCTGTCTGTTGCGTTGGCGCGTAGTGCGAGTACGTGTGTGCCAGGCGGGCGGTCAGGATGGTGCTGGTATGCGACCTCACACGACCATCAGCAAGCTGCAATGAATGCCAGACGGACAAGCACAAAGATGACTGTTTCGTGTATGCTGAGTGTGTGCACACTTCACTGGACTGACCTGCTCCGTGTCAGCGGCAACCTGTTTGCATGACTGTGTGTACGACGGCCACGAACAGACAGACAGAACACGCACGCACAACCTACGGACGTAAGTAAATTCTTCCTGTCCCTCTCCTCGGACAGGGCTGGAGAGACCGATACACACGCACACAGACGGAGATGGACTGAATGCCAGGGGACCACAGAGTAGCGAGTGCCTGTGGGCGCGTACCTGATTCGACATATCGTCATGTCGGCCCTCGAGCTGCTGGGGTCACTCTGCCGCGCTCCTTATCCACTGAATCAATACGAAACATGCACCAATCCCCCCGTCTCACATAAACGACACCCTCTCGGCAGCAGGATCTGTGAGCCCCGCTGTTTGGCAGGCTGCGGTGCGGACTCCACGAGCGGCACACTCGAAGGTGATGGCACCCCGATGGTGAGCGTATCGTTCCCCGCCTGAGAGGCCGTCTGTGCAGGTGCCGGCCGCTGCACCGTGGGCTGAGGAGGGGGCCTTACCCTTACCCGTCTCCACCACTCAGGAGGAGGAGGAGGTACCGGCAGCTGCGCCGTAGGCTAAGTAGGGGGAGCGTCGGGGTCCTCCATGTTTGAAGTGTCGCCGAAGGCGCCCAGCGGGATGGCGTCTTCTGAGAAATCACGCTCCAGCCTCCTGCATTCATGACACAACAAGCAGGAGGGACCCACAGGTGGTGTGAAGTGTGTGCTACCTGTCTGGCTGTGGTGTGTGTCTGTGTGTTGCATGCTTACTGGACGGTCTTCTCGCCCCAAACCCACACCAGCCATTGCCGGTGGAGGGCAGCTGACCGGTCGGCGTACTCCTGCGCCTTGTCCTTGAACTCCTTCTTGTGGTCGGGGTGGACGCGGTTGGAGTCGCCGTCGAGCCAGCCGGCGAGTTCTTCTATCTCTTCGTCGCTCAGTCGCTGGATGCTGCACACGCGGCCTCTTGGTTGCAGCTCCCATGACCGATTGAGGCGGGCGAGGGCTGCACGCACACGGAGGTATGTCTCGTCGGGGTCAAACTCCCTCTCATTCTCATACAGATCCGGAGGTCTCGGCACGCTCGGACCAACACCCATCGAGGCAGACGCAGATCACCAGCAGCGATGCAGATCGATCAGCGATTTCTGTGTATTGAAGTGCTTCTGTGAAACGCTTTAAGAGCTGGCTTAGCTCGCGTTGTCGTCGTATGGGATCAAAGATGTCAACAGGAGACGTTCAGCAGCTTCCTACAGGCGGCCCGCCACAGCTGCGTGACGTGCAGCCCGGCGCTCATCCTCAGGAGCGAGATGCGGACCACCAGCAAGAGACCCCTGCTGCTCCACCGGCCGTCAAGCTCCCAACCGCAGCAGCAGCGGCAGCAGGCGAGCACGATGAGCAAGAGCAGGCCGGCAAGAAAACGACGGACCCGCCAGCATCCTCCGCCACCAAGGGCGATGACGGCATGACCCACCTCCCACACACCTCTCTGGAGATGCCCAGGCGAGACGACCTCCCTGCACAGCCCGGCGGAGCACCACCAGCAGCAGCAGCCCCAGAGTCTCCGTCGTCCAGTGCGCATCAACACCAGCAACAACCGCAGGAGCAACAGCAACAGGCGGGTCCATCGCAGGCGGCGGAGTCCATCGACAAGCGGGAGCAGGAGCTGACGCCCAGGAAGGCGGAGAAGGTCGGAAAGAAGCTGCTCCGGAATGCGGACAAGGTTGCGCGGCGGAATGGGATGGTGGCTGTGCCCTACATCCGGTTCGACATAGGGCCGCCGCCCACCTACGTGTGCCAGCCGCCAGGTGCGGAGATTGCCAGGTGCTTCCCTGCAACGGCGCACACCACCAATGCCGTGAAAGGCGCCATGTGCAAGGGACTGGCGTACCTGAGCGACTACATGGACGGACAGCAGGAGAAAGGGCGAGAGAAAACGACCGGGTCAGAGCTGGGGCCGGGCGAGGGAGAGGGGGAGTGGATGGACGGCGCCGGCAAGGACAGCGACAGCGAGGCAACCGACGAAGAGGACAAGCCGAGAAAGAAGAAGCGTGGCGCCGGCGAGCTGACCGACGCCGAGACTGCCAAGTTGGGGGGGGAGATCCTCAGCTACCTCGCCGACCGTCGGCTCATCAAGTGGGTGCCCAAGCAGCTGGCCTACATGGTGGCCAGCCGGTCGTTCCCGTGCGAGGAGCGCAGCCAGCATGGCGTGAGCAGTGCCCTCGGCCAAGCTTTGGTGGCGAGGCGGCAGATGTACCCGACCATCAAGTTCTTGTCGCAGGGCCAGGCGGGCGAGTACATGGCGCTGGTGGGGGGTGGCGAGAGTAGCGATGAGGACTCTGACAAGGATGAGCAGGGGGAGGTGGAGAGTGCTGACGGAGACAGCGACCGGCCTGCTGGGGGCGACAAGGGGAGGTACGTATGCACACATGGGACGGGATTGAATAAATGGACGGCGGGCTCTTTATGATGTGTTTGTGTGTTTCGGTATGTGGGTGTTGTGTCTGCAGGTGTGGTTCTGGTGGTGGGATACCGGATGACGCCATGGAAGGAGCTGAGGTCCGCAGACACAAAACAGACCAAAGATATTTTCCAACCGCACCCGCCCCACTGTCGATGTGTGTGTTGTTCTTACAGCTGTCCCGACCTCTCCCCGTTCCCAAGCGCAAGCGCACCGGTGCCATGCCCCCTCACGCTCCCCCTCTCCCCCTCTCGTCGAATGATGAGCCCGCACCCGACGCACAAGACCCCACACCCGAGGCGATCCATCCCACGTCGGCCATCGTCGCCATGACCTCCCCCAACGGCCATGCTCCCGACAAGGAAGCCAACCAGCCCGAGGAAGACGACAGCGAGACCGACGAGGACATCCGCCGCCCCCGCAAGCAGCGGCGGCCGAAACGCCGCATCGCCGACGGCTCTCTCGACCTATCCCTTCTGCCCCGGCAGGCACCCAACGCAGGAGTGTCGCCCGAGGACGATGAGCCTCTCGCTGAGCGGCTCAAGAAGACCAAAGCTGAGAGGAGCCCGCGCGAGGCGAGCAACGACACTCGTGGTGGTGGTGTGGGTGAGAAGGGCGAGACGGGCAGCACACCAGGGGGGCGGCAGAGGTCGCGCGTGGCGCCTGGCGTGCCGTGGGACATGCAGGGGGACTCGATGGCCCTTGGCGGCACCCTGTACACCACCCTGGGACAGGCCCGCGTTCGCAGGAGCGGGCGGGTCTTCGCGCACAAGCAGCAGCAGCCTGGCGCGGAGCCCTCAAACGCATCGGCCAGTGTGTCGGGGGCAGGAGGAGGGGGCGGGGGAGGGGGCGGGGGAGG